GAACGCCCCCCCCCCTTCAAAATTCTGGCTACGGGCATGAACACCACAGTCGACCTTGCTCCATACCTACTCCCAACCACGTTGGAGGTCGGCAGTGTTCGGGAGGCAATATTCGGCTATGTGTGACAGGTGCTTAAAACTGTCCGAGGAGGGAGAAAATTAATCCTTGAGAAGTACACGTGTATCGATCCTTTTTGTTACAGGTCGTTGGTTGATACGTACATGTATCTTATCTGTATTATCTTGCGCGTGCACGTGAGACGGTGTTACGCTAGAAAAGCTGGTGCCATCGCAAATCCTAGCTTATCAAAACCGCAGTAAAACACACGGGGCTTACAGGATAAGGGGAAGTGGTAACTCATAACCAAGCATGCGAGGAAATCTGAACTTTTTCTATCCCGGCAAGCCCAACTCTCGTCAAGTCTCGCGAGCATTGACGAGGAAGACTGGCAGTCTAGGCTTAGTCCATAGACATTACATAGATTACATTTTAAAACAAAATGTAAAGAAGTCTTTTCTTGAGATTTTTTTTCAGCTGGATGTTATTGGTAAGGGTTTTAGTCTTTTAATTTTCTTGAAAAAAAAACAAGCAAATTTTCAATCGTGTTTGCATTGTCTGGTTCGCTAAAGAAGATATATAGGTTTCAATATGGCCTGTATATTCGGTCCGTATTTAAGATAGTTTCTGCCGTATGAAATTATTTCGTTATGGACTAAATGGACACCTCAAAGATTGGAGTACCCTGCCAATGTGTCTTCTTCATGGTCTGAAACTCAAGTAGATAAGTTTTGACAACTTTTTTTCTGACATAATATTCCCATGTTATAAGCTGCCATGCCCTATTACTGTCCTTTGCTCTACTGATGTGACACGTCAGGCGTAAAGGTCACGGTCGTGGTGAATTTGCCCATTACTGAGAGCACGGAGGGGGTGTTACTCTGAATAAAACCTCATTGAGGATATGTTTGAATATTGTATCATGTAGGTAGGCGGTAGAATTATTGACTCTTCCATGTATAGATGTTAAGCTGGACCTAGTTTTGAAGTTGGCACGGAATGAAAAGTATGTAATAAACCTGGCAATTCAGCCTCCGGTGTCAAGCCAAATACATGATCCTGCCAAATACATGACTCTGACACTACTTGGGGGTTTCCAGTATACCTGAGACAATGGGTGGCGCCGGCAGGGGTTTAGTCGTGATGTCGGAGACTAAACCTAACCTAACCCCAATCGTAACCCTAACCCTAACTCTAATACCAACCCTAACCCTAACCGTAGCCCTAAACAACTGACCTTTCACGTATGTGGCAGCTCAAGGATTTGGCTCAACACCGGGCTGCAAAAGTTTTTAATCAGTCACCATTGCTGAGATATGAGAGTAAACGACCACCTGAGTTAAGCCATACCTACTTGTATTCGCCTTGACTTCTCATGAGCTGCCATGTGTGGAGTAGAGCACAGTTTGATATTCTATTCTGATGTACTTGGTGACAGCGAGTTCCACTCTGCGATAGTTCTAGGAAAGAATGAATTCTTGAACACCTCAATCCTTGGTTTAGAACTCTGGTACTTGAAGGCATGGCTATTTCTTGTTCTCTTCTGGGCCCTAAAATCGCATTGGATATCTGGCTGTTAAAGTTAAAGTTAAAGACCCTTCCCGCGTCAAGTGACGCATAGGGCGGCGCCCATCTCCGTTCATTAGCCCTGGGCCACACACAGAAGTCACTACAGCAGGGGGCTAGTCCACTGGTAGTGGTGTGTGTTTAACTCCCATACTCTTTCCCAAATGCTGAGTGCTAAGCAGAGAGAAAGCAGTGTGTACCATTTTTAAAGTCTTTGGTATGACTCGGCCGGGGATCGAACTCACGACCTACCGAATGCAAGGCGAACACTCTACCCACTTGGCCATTGCACCGGTCTGGCTGTACAGCACGTAAATTATCCACAGTTTCTTTTTACAAACAGATCACATTCGTTTCCCCATTCCCTTTACTGCGTAGTGTAACACCCTTTTATGGCAAGTCTGTAAAACGAAAGAAAGAACTTAGTCCATAGAACTTCTCGGAACGTCTTAAATGGACATAAAACTGAAGACCGTATACTTAAAGACCGGACTTTATCGTCTTCGAAAAATCGTACATTCAGCCGAAAAGTTTAGCATTTATGTGTTTTTATGAAGGTCTACTTCTGTGAAGTCGATCTTGCAATCAGACGTCCACTCTTTCAAGGTTAGGCCACAGCAATTTAATTTGTTGTTTCTCGGATTTTTTCTAAAAAAATATGAAGCGACAGGGCAAAATAAAAAATAAAAAAAACAGGCCAAGGCACCCCATGATAGCCGGAAATTTTACGATATGAGCCATGAAGTCAACATGTTGCATTGTTACATTGTTACATTGTAAAAACTTGAACAGCTAGGAAGAAAATGACTTTCTTCAACTGTTGGAGCCAAAATATGTCTTTTAGTGAGCATTTTTCAGTTGATTTAGAACCTGAAACATTTTTTTTTTGCAAATCAGACAAATGGACAGGGCAAATCCGAGAAACAACAAATTAAAATTGGTTTGGCCCTGTGGATCGATCTACAAACATGCATGCAGCTCCAAGAACGCGTTGTTAAAACAAAGACCCCCTTCAAGGGCAGCCTTAAATTTGGCGTTATCGACCGCGATCCACGCGTAAGTCTTCGTTAGTACGTTTCCCGTGGAATTTGTTTTTATGGACACTTTTCTCTTATCTTTATGCAACCCTGGGAGCCAGTCGTGCATAACATGGGCCATAACTGACACGATGGCGTAATTTATTCGCCAAGCGGCCACCAGGCATCACGGCACTTATGGACGTGACAGTACTGAAAGAGTGCAACGATAATGAGTAGATTTTGAGACATCAGTACACACCAGCTGCTGATAATGCCACCTCTCTGACCTGAAACAAGTTTATCTGCATTTTCATCCGTCAATCGCCTCGTTAACTCGCCACGTATCGGGGAACTACAAACCTGTTGCTGTGCACCATCTGGCCGCCAGGGTGACGCTGGGCATGTTGGAACTAATCCCAAAACGTGTCGTTTGTTGACCTTACTCCTTCTGAGACTTAATTGGTGCGTACGGTCAAGTTCAATGCTTTCTAGAAGCAATGCCAAGGACATTAGTCTCTTTTCTACGTCAATAGCAAGTGTAGCACCATTACACAAATCAACGTTTGTTTTTGCAAAACATTCAAAGGTGTATAGTGCAGATATAACACCATTACGTTTGGCCATTGAAGGCTATATAGTTGAATACACACTGAAACAAAGTCTGCCATAAAAGAAAAACTACCCATATTTTAGCCATATAGTAAGCTAGTGTGTTACGCCTAAGGGCGGTTATACTGGCTATACCGATACAGATACAGATATTTTAATCTCAAAAATTATTCTGCACCAGAAAGTCACTATTAGTAAGTCACTAAGATGCAAAGAAAACAGGCTAGGAGGTTGACAAGCGTGAACTCCGAGAGCATCTAACAATGGACAAACCCAACAATCTGACCTCAATTTCCGATGTATACATCCGCTCTGAGTCCTGTCGTTACTTCCACTGAACTGATGAAATGAAAAAAAAACTTGTCCAAGGTAGATACGTTTAGACTCTACTCATTTCTTCTAACCTAAGACCACCCAAACTGCACCAAAATTATCAAGAAAAAACAAAGAAATTTCAAAGATATTAAGTAGGGACTAGAATTGTGTCCCAATGTCCAAATGCATTCACAGTGCAACGCAACAGTGACGTCAGTCCAACACTTTATGTTACTAACGATAACCTGAAAAATCATGATATAAAGCTGACGCTCGCGGGCAAAAATCATTCAAAGTATACCCAACACATTATTCTTCTGACTTCCATACTGCAATATTTATGATTCCCCAGGAAAAAGGGAACATTTACTCAGAATGAAAAGATCACCGACGACCAAGTTTATGGGTTATTTTCATCATAACCTTTTGACTTATCCAACCCGACCCAAGTACCCATCTTTGCGAAGGCCTTTGACAGAGGGGAATGTGATGGAACACTAGCCGGTGGTTCAGTCAATGATCATGACGCCTGCCCGCTGTGCGAAAAGGTCACGAAGATAAACTTGTCTGATAGATCACTCCATGATCCGGTTTAGACATCGGTACAGGTTGAAGGATCTGTAAATACCACAGGTTCAAGTGTATCCAAAGAGCAGAGGGTGACTGGTAGATTATACACGGTACATCAACAACATAAATTGGACAAGGAACTTTCGTACTTCGGGGGTTCGGATACATGGAGTTGTGGCGATGCGGGTAGATTGAATATGATATGAAAAATAAGTACTGTCAAGGACTGAAATGTCAAGTGACGTCAAGACGTAACTCGCTTCCCTCTACGGAAGATCAAAATCGTCAAACATAATTATGATTTTCAAATATTCTCGACGTTATTCTACAGGTTATGATTATCAAAGGGCAATCAAACACATGATACGTAAACACGCTTACATATCATAATGAACAATATCAATCAATTCACAGTCATGTTCACAGAACATAACTAACCCAAGATCTTTTGTCTTGCTTTTCATTCCTTCTGTTCTGAATTACGACTTCATTGTCATTGATCTTTTAGTATTCCGACAATGTCATTTGGTAATATATATATATTTCAGTATGAAAAGTTGCAGTTTCAACTTCTACTGCACCCCTATCACACATGTATTATAGTCTCATTCGCAGACTTCTGATGCGGCGGTGTCAATTTTTTTCCGGGGAGCGACACGAGTTATGCCGCGGGGACGGTTTTGCCGCCGAGGGCCTTTGCCGAGGAGAGACGGTTTCCCCGCGGCATAACTCGTGTCGCTCCCCGAAAAAAAATTAAAGCCGCCGTATCAGAAGTCTGCGAAGGAGGCTACATATATCACACATACACATGGATGACATGTGCAATTTTATGTTGTTAACTTTTCTATCTTTATCATTTGCAGTTGATGCAGCAAGATACCGCATAGCGCCGAAGTCCACGGCTGTATTAGAGGGTCAAAGAGTCACCCTACAGTGTGCCATAGATAACCTTTCACAAAGAGGAGTGGTAGCATGGGGAGGACCTCCGGATTACCAGATAATAGCTACCGGGGACGTTGTAAATCCGGATTATCCCCGATACCGGATTACCGGAGATCACTCTAGAGGCGTGTACAACTTACAGGTCAGCAACACCAACCTGGCGGATGAGGGGAACTACAGATGCAGTACGTTTGGACTGAAACCTGCACAGGCCACGCTCACCGTCATAGGTAAGACCAGTCTACACGAAATCACGTAAATTATGGTATTATGGTATCACTCTTTTAAACCTCTTAGTAACACATTCTGAACCTTCCCCACGACCACCAACCAACATGTTTGGGAGCAGTCTGACCAGATTTAGGCTAGGCCTGCCTTTCTACCTAAATCGAATAAAATGTGAGTTAAATTTGAGTCAAATTTGACCCCAGACCACTCCTGACCTACTCTCGAACACCAGCCAACCACCAGCTAACCATGGCTTAATGTCCCGTCCACACCCGAACGTTTTAAACATTTGAGAACGTTCGGCTAGCGCAGCCGAACAATATCTTACCTCGCCGAACACCAGCCAACCACAGCTGACCTTGCTCCCGGCCTAGCCCAAACCAGGGGCTTTAGAGAGTCTACAGTATAGATCTGTAATTTGAGAGGGATCAAGTTACGTGCCAAGACGTAGTTTAAACTAAGGAAGTCCATTGATCCAATCGAACGATGTAAAAGCTAATACCAACTAGAAAAGTAACATTTCCAAATCAAATGCATAATGTTTACCTTCGCATACGGTCTGCTCTGTTAATTCTTACTCTAACACATTCAAATATATGGTAACAAGAGTCTAAATCCCTCCTACTATGAAATTGCAACATTATGTACCCCGACACCAGTTACCATGGTGAGAGACAGTCTGGCACAGTCAGGTCAGAGGTCACTGTTTGGAGAAGAAGTGGAAAGAAGAAGAAACGTAGAAAAACAATATGTTTTCCTTTGGTAAATATAACTAACCCAGAGTTATTATTTTTCAGTTCTCTTGCCGAGACCACCGTCCATATCCGGAGGACAGACACCTGTTATCTCCTCACAGCGTCTCATCCTCACCTGTACCTGTACCGGCGGCCACCCGCCTCCTCAGGTCACGTGGTACAACGGGTCACGTGAGGTAGATCCTGCTTACGTCAGCACGGAGACCAGCGGGAGTCGCATCGTCCAGACACTGACCATAGAGGCGGTCAGCAAGTGGGATAACGGCGTGAACATGTCCTGTAGAGCTGACCAGGGCTACCCGAACCTGGTCAAACCTAAGTCATCCTTCAGGATCCTTCGAATACACTGTGAGTAAAAGAGAAATGATTTAAAAACAAAGCTGGCCGGGGGCCAAGATGGGAATGGTTACAATGTAGTTGGGTGGCGTGAGTGTGATGACGATGTGTCAATCAATCATGTGTGACCAAAAATATTTGCTCACATTGGTAACTTTAATCGGACTAATGTGGTAAGTTAAATCAACCTATTCCATTTGGCATAATGATATCTGTGAGGCAAAAATGCGACGTCACTGACAGAAAACCAATGCTTGTTTCGTTTCGTTGACTGCTTCTAGCTACTAGTATTTGTTGCTGGTATAAAAATTACATAGCTTGTTTCAAACGCTTCAAGTATGGTATGATGACGAAAATGTGCCAAGAAATTGCAGTAAATGTCAATATTAATATTAGACATAGGCATATTTTTAACATTGCCACACTGAAATGTCATTGTATGACTTTAAAAGCACATTTAATGGAGAAAATGATTTTTAATCCTGATGTTCACATCCTATTTCAGACCCTCCCACCGTCAATGTCCCGACATCCTCCATTCACGTCAAGGAGGGTATGCCAGCCAACCTGACATGCGCAGTAGACAGTAATCCCCAGGCCACGATAACATGGGAAAAACTCGGACATCCTTTTCCTATCAGAGGGGACGAGAGGTAGGAGAAGCATTTTTTTTAAGTTTTTTTTTTGTAAAATACAGTATACAGTTTCGGCGCTTGAACATACCGTCTCAGACGTTGATGATTTACAATTCTCCTTACTTTTACATTGTGCCCCCTGTGTAGCACGTTGGCAGAACGTACTGCACCTGCGCGAAACCCGCAATGCATTGTGCATAGCACTTTGGCAGAACGTCTCATACAATGTCGAATTCACGTATATAAGGTTAACAGTCCGTCTGTAGTTTGAAAATGTTATTTAGCAAAAAAATATATCGTCTGCAACAGGCAAAATTTTGATGCAACGTTGACCAAAAATCCACTGAAAACCGTGAAAAATGGGGGTTTTGCGCAAGCCCAGTACGTGCTGCCAACGCCGCCCCCCCCCTCCCCCCAGGTTGTCCTTGGAGTTTTTCATGTATCCATCCGCGCTCTGGCCATGCAAGACGTATAACCCCTCAGATATGTCAATACACCCAATAATCTGGTGAAACGAACAAAACTTGACCAAAGCAGGAATGTTTAGACCCTACTTGTTCCCAAAACTGGACAAAAAATTTCAAGAAAAAACGTATTTTCGATGATATCAAATAGGAACTAGAATATTTTGATCCCGTTTTGGGACCTTCACTGCACTGGTGACGTCATCCTTCCATCCGGGACACCTTGGCGCCAACCCATATTTGACATGGCCGTGAGTTATTGGTTTGCAAGGAAAATATTAATCATGCACAGACTGCTGCAAGTCAGACTCAGAACAATTAATAACCTGCATTCCCTGATGTATTGAAATTTTAATAAGAATCCAGATATTTGAGTTCCATCTGGATGTTATTAATGGTTAGAATCTACAGTCACGGAATGAAACAGAATAACACTAAGTAAGGTTTTATGAAAAAACAGGTACATTTGAAGATTTATGTTGTTTATAGGCATCTTTCGATCGACAACTTTAGAAATATATAGAATCATAAGGTTGTGGCAGACATGTCAGATATATTGCATATCGGGCTGTTGTGTAGCAAAAAATGCACAATCGCATCGCAGACCTATGTATTACATCTTACGCCTAACGGGAAGGGTAGACCACAAAATGGTAATTAAAAGCATAAACATACTAAACCTCAAGCCTTTACCACCACTACAACTCTGGTCTTGTAAGGTTTCTGTGTGTATAAAAAGCGAAGTGACCGGTCAACTCTGGCATTTTCTAGCCTGCTTACCAAACCTATTATAGCTCCCGAGTCCTACATCCTCTCCGCAAATGGCTAGCCCATACTATACTTAGTAGGGGCAGCCAGTTTCACTCTAACGTCATAGTTCTAAGAAAATAGAGTTTTCAATCCTTAGTTGATAACTCTGGTACTTGGAGGCATGATACTTCCCTTCCTTTTCTGAGCCGGTATTAGGTACGTAGTACTTGGTACATCCACTAGGATGTAACGTCCACAATTCTAAAACATGTCAGAGTGCTAGCTAACGGAGAGTTTGCAGGTTCCTTCGCTCCAGGAAGCCGACTCTGTACCTGCCCAAGGTGACTCGGTACGACGGCGGCACCTATCAGTGTACGGCCGACAACGGGGTGGCACCCAGCGGGAGGGGGACTATCACACTCAGCGTTCTGTGTGAGTGGACTTTTAAACTATACATGCACAGAATGTTGCGTTGCTTGATGTATGGTGTTATCTTGCAACTATATGATGAGACAAAAATTGATTCCGAATCCAGTGTAGTTCTGTCGAATGCATAGATCTATACATAAAGGTGAATAAATAAGGTTATATTTACATGTAGGGTCGGAAGGAAATACAGTATAAGATTTATCTAGGGTAAGGACATACTAGCTTCTGTCGTAAAAGAAGAGTTAATTCTTTAAATATTCTCGGAGAAGACAACTCAACTTTATCAATAACTCGAAAATTCCTCTAGCTCTCCTCAAAAATTCAACTTCTCCGTAGTAGCAACCCTTTGTAGAGTAAAATACAATGTAAGTATTGACTTTGGTCTTATGCTGGCCATTATTGTTTTAGTAATTGGGATGTTAAATGTTACCATATCCCTTTCTTGTGCCAGGTTCAATAGTTGTTGCCATACATTGTACCGCGTGCGATTGTCGTGCAATAAAGTTATCATCAAAACTTCTTTATAGTGGAATAACGTTCTAGGGCATTGGATTTGGTCGAAAACACAAATACTACAGTTTACGAAATTTCTGGAAGAAGCACTGTTGTTCTGCACTATTCAGATCGTCCTTGGATCGACCCTACGATGGAAAAGAAAGTCACCATCCTGAACGGCCAGGACGATTTTTCCCTGGAGTGTCTCGCTGACGGGAACCCCAAGCCTCGCATCCGCTGGCGGCGGAAGGATACAAGTCTGTACTGGGAAAACCCGCTCCGCTTCCACCGGGTGCGGTATGATATCGAAGGGACATATGAGTGCGTCGCCACGACCAAAGATTTTCCGGAAGTGACGAAAGAAACATTTATCGACGTCGTTGGTAAGATTATATAATATTGATATGTATATTGTATATGCTTTCCGATAATTGTTTATTGCACATCCATGCTCGAGGGCTAATTGCAAGAACATGATAAAATAATAAACTAGAAATAATAATAAATGATGCTACCAGTGCTACTTTTGATATGATATTGTTGGTAATATTGATCATATTGCTCGCTGGAATCATAAAAGAAGGTAGCTCTCGGTATGATTAAATATAGTATGCTGGTCATGAGCAAAATTCTCACCTTGAAGATCAGCCAGTAGGTACCATCTAGGGTAATGAGGCAAAATGGATTTGTTTATTTGTCTATTCGAATTTATCACAAGTAAAAGGGAGGGAAAAACAGGTGCATTCGCAGTTTTTACAAGTTACCTCCCACACCCAAAAAACAACAAGTTGGGCGGAAAGAAGTATGGAAATATTAGTAAACTTAACCTTGCTTATGTCATCTAGGTCGACCCCAAATAAGGGAAGAAACTAGTGACGTCATTTCCGCCACGGAAGGGGAAGCCACCAGTCTTACCTGTGACGTCAGAGCGGACCCACTTCCCACCAAAATCACGTGGTTATGGCGTGACACGCAGGGTGTGGAGGTGGAGCTAAACCACGTACAGGGCGACAGCAGCGTGAAGGAAAGTTCCAGTAAAGATGAGAAATCGTCATCCCTCACCCTGAAGAATGTAGCGATACGCGATGGTGGCACTTATGTGTGCCACGCAGCGAACATGTTTGGTACTGCACAGCGGGAGATCCATCTCAATGTCACCGGTAGGTAGTTCAACGATGTAGGGGACCTACATTTGTAAATTGTGTCGTCATAGACGTTTTTGCTCTTCGAAGGACATGTAAAATGTAAAGAGGTAGCCGTCTGATTTTTCTTCAAAGTAGGTGGTGTACATATATTGAATTTAGTGCATGGGATCATACAATTTTCCCATTTTCGGAATGTTGCACCAGTGTCAGAAGGCAACAATTTTTTTTTCCCAAAATCAGGCGAACATTAATGCGCGCGCTCATGTCATCCATAAAAATTACTTGCTGTGGCCTAAGTTTGTATTGTCTACCCGTCCAGAGTCGTACCGTTCCCTGGCTACTGTGATCGCCATCACGATAGCCGCCATGATCGTGCTGGCCGGACTGGTCATCGGGCTGCTGCTGGCCAGGAGGAGAGGCTGGATCTGTGGGGGGCTACGGACAGGTAGAGCTACAGCAAAATCCACGCTTAACTGTGTATTGGTGGATTCCACTTTTTGTAGAGTGACCCATGCGTAGTTAACTCAATGTGTCATTATCATCTACCACGTGACCATGTAGAACGACAACACAACCCACCTTTAACTTTCCCCGGACTGCAAAACTGTTGAACTCCCTCCCAAACGTAAGCTTTCCTTACGAATTCAATCCTCAAGCTTTTGAAATAAACATCCATTGCCACCGCCATCTTCGGGCATAATCTTACATCTGCAGTGTTACCTAGCTCTTTACCTAAATTTGATCATTTGGCCTGCCATTGAGCAACACCTCAAAAGAAAGGCATCCAATGTGTATTGGTGAGTTCCACTTTTTGTATAGTGAGCCCTGTGTAGCTCCAGGTGCACGTAGTTTTATCACAGGTAAGTCGCGACAGGTATACCTGGGAATTGTTGTAGTGATATACCATGTCAAATATCATGTCAAAAACAATCATTACGAAAGTTGCCTAGTAGTTATGTACCAGTAGATGGGTCGTACTCTACAGTGGAAGGAACAGTCATCTACTAGTTCTTCCTTACTCCTACACAGATGATAAGCACATGTCCGCACCCCGTCCGATGCCTCCTGTACCTAAGTACGCACACAAGACGGGCACTATAGACTCCGGTGTGGAGGACCTGGAGCTACATGAGATGGAGGGAACGCTAAAGCCGCGACCTCCGCCCAGAGTGGACAAAGACTGGACAGCGATCGGACTGACCTATACAGGTAGTCATGGGGGAATACAAGTTTCATAGTCATAGTTCCTCTTCATCAATTCCGCGAAATGGTACCAGTAAGGTCAATTTTTCAAACCGGGGCCCTAACGGGTTACCGAAAATGAAAAATTCATATCAAGAACATACAGAAGTTGTACCCATCATTAGATTTTTTTTCATTTTTATGTGTTTGTTGTTTTAAATATACCTTTTGGGCCGGGGAAAATTTCTAAAAACGAAAGCCTTAGCATAATGCAGACTATCTATGGATCTATCTATGGATTTGACATTATGTTTGACGTGTTTTGCGTCCCCCAGGACTGGCGCACCCCTCCACCCTCCCTCCCTACTCCACGGTAGAACGGCACCGTCCTGACGGGGAGGACCTACAGGGGGACGGTACCTTCCACGAACCGGTACGGCAATTCATTTGTTCTGTCCTGCCGTCCTTCCAGCTCGTTCTTGCCAGCCTCGTCCGTCGTTCGATTGTTCATTTTGCCCTTTATGACTGAAAAAACTCTGTACCTCATTCCTCATCTTTGACGGGCAAAAATTGTAAACATATGGAAAGAGATGTCATCAGAGCCAAAAGGTATAGGAATAGCCCGATCCCATACCTGGCAATACTCTTAACCCTATCTAGACCGGGCTTTTTTGGGCTTCGTGCGATGAGATGTTGGGTAAGCCCAATTTCTTACGTGAAAATTACATTTTAATATTGCTCCATAATGACCTCTATCAAACACAGGTGATCTTTCGAGACAATGTTATCTTTCTATTTTCCAGCTCGGACATTCCCACCCTCCGACCAGACACAGTCACGTGCACGGCCGCCTGACGCTGGGCGGGAAACGGGCCACAGCAAGACGGACTCAGCTAGACAACGTCATCAACGAACAGCAATCATTGTAACGGGGTTTTATTGTGAAACAACAACAACAAATGCCAGCTAGCAGATAATAGCTAAGGATACACTGATAAAATTTTATGGATGACATTCGCCAGTTCTCAAAAGGAAAAAAACTCCGAGGCTCTGGCCTGGGTGCCATCCTCCATAGTCCATGGTAGCTAGCGACAATAGGGAGCCGGTGGTAACTATGGAGGACGGCACCTAGGCTACCAGAACTCTAAAACTCCGTACGGTGCACCGATGCCGGTTTTGCATATGCTGCAAAAGAACAGCATGTGCCGCCTTGTAAAAGTAGTCATGTACAACCGCAAATTCGAAATACCTGCTTTGCATTCCTGCATTTTCTTGGCTGGATTTTTTTTTCATTCGCCTGCATGCATTAGTTTTGGGTCTTCAAAGGATGTCATCCATAAAATTAAGTCAGTGTGGCCTAAGTCGAAAAACAACAAATGAAAGTTGTTATTATATGTTTAAATAATACTTTTTTGATTATTGATGGATAAAATTAGCCATCAAGAAACTGTCGTTAGATGTCGTGAAAGTGTTTGCTATAATTTCAACTGATAGTCACAGTAATAAGGATATGTAATATCCTTATCAACTGCTGTGTTCAAAACTCTAGATGTAAGTTCACTCAAAACTGTAAAAATCATCAGTCGTTTTCTCACAACGGCCATTGCTGTACATTGCCACAGTTCTAAGGAGATACACCAAGGTCCGGATATTTCAGAGGAAAAGCCGTGTTTAAGTTGAATACATTGTACTTAGATGAAGACAGTATCTTAAAAATGTAATTTGAATTATGTCATGTGGAAATGTACAGGTGTGCTCTACGCGCGTATATTACCTACGAAAGGAACGAAAACAACAAAAATTAGTCCATGCCAAACTTTACACACGAAAACCTTACAGGAGGCAAATTTCAAAATACATGAACTTCTCATGTGAACAGCATGTTTCTATCATTCAAATATTGACCTAAAGCGGAAGATTTTATATTACCGAAACCCTACTCATGCAGGTTCATGTATATGTTGTGTACATTGATGTCAACACAATTACAATCATGATTTCGTGCAGTGTGAATATGAGAAGATACAACCTTGTACATTCTTAAAATAAAAAGCAGCTCGTTCTAGTCCTCCTATCAAGCTACGAATGTGTTTGTCAACTTTTCAATAAAACGAATTTCTAGGTGGTTAAATCATCATCACCTTTACCTCGTCATCATTTGAGTTTGTTGTGCAAGTCTTTGATGTGTGTTCTTTGACTTGTAGCGTCAATACTGCCCAGAATGACGGTGAAATACAACATAGTACGTGATGGGTGTATAGCTGAAGTTAACCATCGGAATTACAACGTAAAGAACAAAAACACACCTAATTATTAATCTATGCAACACGAAGAGAACGATCATCACATATAAGGAATCAAATATAGCGTCTACCAGCTTTCGGAAGCGCTAGCGTCTGGAAAAAAGTATAAATTGGTCAAATAGGCAGAAAACATCCCAGGGTAGTTGGTCCGCTCAAGGAGAAAAGTTCGTCGCAACATATGCTCTTGCGAGAGGCTGTCAACACTCCTTATTACAAACGGGCCCTGGCATGCTATCTGTCTATTTGGCCAATTTCTAATATTTCCCGCCGCTTCTGATGTCTGGTAGAGGCTAAAGAAAATATACACATATAGCCTATCATGGAATGATATTGTCTTTTCAGCAATAGGTCAGCTAAGGAATAGAATGTGTAATTTATACTGACTTGAGCTGTTGCCTTACCTTATCTTACCTATCTATGTTTTCATAGTAATGATTACATAACCCGGTCCGTCATTTGCCCCAGCCTGGCCGCTGGTGTCAGAACCGGAATTAAAAGAACCTCCGCCACCGCCACCATTTACAACACCGCTGCACCCCCTGCCTCCCCCTGAATACCCCCCTCCCCCACCTCCACCGTCACCTTGTCCCTCACCCCCTCCACCTCCACCAAAACCACCATCAGCATTTCTAGCATACCCACGGCCCCCATTTCCGCCATTAGTGAACGCCTTTCCACCCTCACCACCCGAACCACAACTCTTACCCCCAAAGCATTTACAGCTACCCCCATCCGTCAGCAGCCCTCCCCCTCCCCCACCCATGTAGTCATCCTCCCATTCTGTCGCCCCCTGTCCGTCAGTCCCCCCACTATAACCGGATTTTCCTTCCACATAACTCCTGTTCCCAGCTGTTGAGACAGTCCCATCACACAGGGGGTTATGAGTCTTTAGCCCCTTGCCTCCCCCTCCCCCACCCCCCGCGATGATGAGTGGCGTGTTGTCAGACTTGGTAACAAATGTTCCTCCTCCTCCCCCTACGCCACTGCGTTCGTACTTGATATCTTGGACTTGGTTTTCGTCCATCTCAGCACCTTCCTGTCCGACTAGGATCTTCAGCATCTCACCTGATGTTACGAAATATTTGAAATTTGCACATTGAGAGTAGAACCAACCAACCAACCAACTAAACAAAAACAAACAAACAAACAACCCGACCGACCAGGCAACCGACCAAAAAAACAAACTATTTTTAAAACTATATTAATTAGGGTATATACACATAGCTCACCGTTTTCAAGCGAGAATGTTCCCTTCACCACAGCACCCCGTCCACGAGATGTCTTCAGATTAATCAAACTCCACCCTGCGGCAGCACCTACAAATATAAAATGCCTACCACCTCACTAGAATTTTCAACCAGTGTTTTGAACCAGTGTTGTGAACGTGGTCAAATTTGCCGGCAACTTGATTTTCATACACACATCCCTTGACGTTTTCTGCTAAAAACGCCAAAACAGCAAATTGACGACAAATGCGAAAGTCATTACCTACCTGCCGCCTCTATGTTGTACGTTCCCGTTGCCGGTACAGTGAAGTGTTGTATCCCGTCATGTAGCGTCACCAGGTGTTCATGGTCCTGTCCCCTGTAGTGGGTACCCAGGGTAGAGGGGCCCTCACGACCGGTGGCGCCCAGGGTGGTGAACTTGGCGGTGCGGAGGGGGAAATCTAGGAAATTTATCTTGCTTTAGTGCTCACATGATCAGGGAAATTGCATTTATATTACGTTCAATAAGTAGAGTAAGTAAGTATATAAAATGGATAGCCTTCTATTTCGTTTATCTATCTTAATCTTACATGTATTTGTTTAAATTTAATTGATCTTGCTTAACTGGCAAAGTTAAGTGCTTAACTTCCCTACCGAAAATGTTTCCGAAATTGACTTCCTGAACGTTTATGGTTGGACTTGCTCGGTATGTGACGTAGCTGACAAAATCAGAAATGTCTGGGATTTGTCCTTTGAGCAGAAGGTCAAGTCGTGCTGTGACGTCAGAGTGCACGTTCAAGACGTCAAAGTCACTGCCATGCTCGACGATTTTCCGTGCGTAGTCCACCGTGCTGGACAGACAGCCCAGGGCGCTCTCAACGGTATCTTCTGTCGCAGACAGCTCCTTGAGACGCGTGGCGGCGATGGAGGCAAGTTTTTCTTCGAGTTCGGCTTGTTTACGCCTGGCATTATCAGTGAACTCTTTGATAACTTCAGCTATGGCGTCTTGAGCCTTTTTCTTGTTGGTATCCAGGTCTGTCTTCTTGTTGGCAACCTTTTCTTTGAGGATTTGGTACTCGTCAATTTTGGGTTGGGCCTTGTCTGCGCTGTCGCTCAACTTCTCTCTGATCCCACCCACCACTTTGGGCAGGTAGCCGTGCTCGTGATCTTTGTGCTCTAAAACTAGACAGTCCCGGCAGATCGGACTTTGGCACGTCTGGCAGTAGAAGCGGAGTTCCTCGCCGTTGTGTTCGGGGCACGTCGGCTGTCGCTGGGACTTGACGGCAAGCGGGTTGGACGTCGAACGGCTTTTGAGCTCCTGGAGACTCAAAGTGTCGTGATCTCGGGTGAGCTTCAGTCGCTGATGAGCGGTCAGGCAATCTTGGCAGAGAAAATCATCGCATTGACGACACCAACAAGTTGCCACATTCCCTTCATCGCATGTGCTGCACGTGATGGCATCTGTACTGCCCGGGGACAACTTCTTATGGACGTCAACGGCATCTTGAAGACTGAGCACGAAGAAGTTGTCCTTGAGCCCCTCGACGCCGCCCCCCGGAAGTTCAGTTTCGATCCGACATGTTGGACACGGAAAGTTGCCGTCTTTCCCTTCGCCTTGCTGCGCGACAAACTTCTTCAGACAGTCCTTACAGAAGGTGTGAAGACACGGCAGGACCTTGGGGTCCTTATAGGGCTCCAGGCAGATCGTACACTCCAGAAAGTCGTCCGAAATCTGGCTAATTATGGCCTCCGCCATGACGGTACCTGTAAACCGTGGCGTACAGGAAGTGAGATGGACTCACGGTGAACTTTCGGTCACGAGGTCAAAGGTTAACGTTCTAGGGGCCGATATCTAGTACATGTAGTGCATTGAAACAACCTCCTTGATTGAAACAAAACGACACCACAAAAACCCTTTGTAACAAATCTTCTTCTCACTGTAAAATTAAATACCACAGTATAGACAAGTGGTGTTCCATTGTGATTAAGCCAATGGAACCACTTCTGATTGTGATTTTAATCATATTATCATTTAATATAATAGTTGTGGGGTTTCATTGGCAATGTTGAAAAATAGGCAATGGAAGAAATAACCGGAATTCATAATTTTCGCAGCTTAGAGATATACATATGTTGGTAAATGTTAATAGGCAATTTGTTGTGACCTTTATGACAGATGGCCAGACTGGCAGAATACCGTCAGCAGAAAACCTTTGCCAAACATCATGCTGCCCCAACGGCTGACTAGCTATGGGAGAGAGTGAGTAAGTGAGTGAGTGAGTTATGACACACCAAAACTGATCTGAACTCTTGATCGCAAGCTTTTACTTTAAAGTTTGACGTCTTTTTGCAACAAACAGGTGTCAATGCGCTCGCTACTGTTACATGGACGCCACTATCGCTTAGCGGAGTAAAGCAGAACTCCACCCAATGGTGTCAACTTTGCTATTTGGATGCTGATTGGTTCAATAAACCATATCGGCCAATCAGTTGCCTGTATGTACCGTTGAGCTGAGTATTGATTGGTTGCTGAATTACCAATGAATATGTGCGACAGATTTCTGTTAATCCCATGACACACCTTGGTGAGACTATTTTATTGAAAAAAAAAAAAATCATTGCACGTCAAATACAGCAAGCCTCTTCACAATTCAAAATTATTCATAATTTGTCTCTGAATCAGAAAGATGCAAAATTGTGTGCACGATTCTGTGTATGATATTATCATGTAGCATAAAAAACTTCACAATTGAAAAGCTGCTTAAACTTGATTATCTTTATATTATGATAAAAACATTGGTCTGTTGTTGCTAGATATCTATACTGGAATCATATTTGTATCTCAACAATAAAGCAATGGAATGTTTACAATAGAAAATATATAGCCGAGACATGTCTAACAATATTTCTTGTCCAGAAGCTATCATTTTCAAGCATATTCCCACGGCACAAAGCAATTTGAAACTGGCCATCAGGTACCAGTATAAAATATTGATATCTGGTGGCCAATTTGATTATGCCTTGCCCTTGGTGGAATCTGTTTGGAGATCACATTTGTTTATTTATGACATGTAACTGTTCACACTTACTGGACTGCAAGTAACAGACTATAGTAAGTACTTCTGTGCGTGGGTGTGCATACTGATCATTGGTACGGTATTGAGCTATCATCATGCTAGCTTATTCTACATCCACTAAAAAACATGAAAACTGTCAGCAGACAAATGGAATGAGTTATTAATTTCAAAATATCATCAAAGAAGTAATCATAGAAATCATTCTTTTCATCTGAAGCTAATAATTTGATATACATGTACAATGTAAGAGGTTTACCTTGTTATTAAAAGAAAATTAGTCTAGCAGAAACAACAAGACTAAGGCCCATTTTACTACGACCATAATTCTAAATAACTTATAATTCTTAAAATGTGTATTATTGTAATACATGTAAAACCAAACGTCTTACTGCTTTGCCTACTTCCTTACCATCATAATTTGGTGATTTTAAAACAGCATGCACATCAGATTATTGTGAGAAAATATGACCGATGATATGTGTGTTATCAAACAATATGTACATTAAGTTTACACATAAATTATGTACATATATGATACAATGCACATTAGAGATTGTTGGACGCAGATCATAATGAAAAGTATTTGGTTCATGTGTTCAGAGGTATGAAATGTAAAAATATCTTTCAAACAGAAAATATAATGTCAATGTTCTTTAAATTGATAGAAAAATAAACATGTCATAACAGGCTAAAAACAAGGTTTTCATACTTTTTGCTGTGTATACATAAATTAGCTTGACACTGTAATATGTACAAAGTATATACTTGGCATAAAGTCAGCCAACAGCTTCCTAAGCAATTGAACAGAATGATCATAGGGCCTCTATCTACCATACCAAAATGATTTCTGGATTATTTTTAAAACACAGCTGGACCATCCGATAAGCATTGAATTAAAAGTAGCAATAATTCCATACATGTCATACACAGCATTGAATCTAGACTAAGTTCATAATTGAGAAATCACTTTTACAATATCATTGATTGCAAATCTATACCACATCTTAAATGTTGACAATAGTCCACATTAATATTCTCTATTAAACATATACTACATCTTCTTGCTTGTTACCTGATTTTCAATGGGAATTTATTCCTTAAAAATTTAGCAATTTTTAAAAATTCTTGTATAATTCTTACATCAACCATTTTCTCACTTACTCTCCTCTAAATCATTCTAAGACTACTCCTGTTAAATATAGGCACATGACTTTTTATTACATTGAGTGACATTTTTTTAGACAATAATCCTATCCCACAACAACATTGACTTACCTGTAAATGTACATGTGTGATTTCATTGTCTTAACACTTTGGTTCATTCTTAGTCTTAACAGAGCAGCACAAGTTTTCAATATACGAGTTTTACAGAACCAGTGTGTCATTGATGCACAACTATTTAGTTGTAAACACACAGTAAGAAAATTGCAACAATACTGAGAAGATTTAACCTTACAGTTGAAGCAGCACAGAATGAGCATATCAACAGAACATGCTGCACCTGCGCAAAACCTGCGTAATGCTAAGCATTTTGGCAGAACATCTCGTTTAAGATTGAACAGTAGATTCAATAATGACATCATGATTAATGTTCTAAATTATAATGTCGCTATGGCCATACCAATTTAATTTGTTGGTTCTCAGATTTACCTCTTCATTTTTTTCTGATTTGCAAAAAAAAAAAGATTCTGGTTCTGAATCAACTCAAATATGCTCATATTTTGCCCCCAACAGTTGAGGAACGTCCTTTTCTTCCTAGTTGTTACAGTTCTTCCATCTACCGGTATCAATGCTACATGTATCAATGTTTGATTAAAAGTTCAAAATTCATTGTTTATATTGACGTCGACCCAGCCTTTTGCGTTGACTTCATGGCTCCTAACGTAGCACTTGGGGCTATAATAGGATGCCTTGACGTGTTTTTGTTTTTTATTTTTTCGCCCTGTTGCTTCATATTTTTTCTGAAAAAATCTGAGAACCAACAAATTATATTTGGTGTGGCCTATGGACAATATTCTGATGCAACGTTGACCAAACGTCCAACAAAAACTGTGAAAAGTCTGGTCTTCGCGCAGGCGCAGTACGTTCTGCCGACGTGCTGACAGAATGGAGTAAGACAGCAGCAGGGGCTGAGCTACTCCACCTGGTTGGTGAGAAGAGGAGCTGTGGTGCTGCTGTCCACCTCGTCTGCATCTCCGTCCAACTCTATCTCATCTGTCAGGAAACTGCTGGGGAAGGGAGGGATCATTGTCAGTTTCAGGATGTAACACACAACTAGAGAATTAACATTTGCGAAGCAAATGCATAATGTTTACCTTCAGACATGGTCTGCTCTGTTTATCCTTACTCAAACACATTCACATACATGTACTACGAGTATGTGACAGGAGCAGAGTATACCATGAAATTGCAACATTATATAATCCAACACCAGTCACCATGGTGACAGACGTCAATAAATCATGTGATTGGTCAGGTCAGAGGTACTGTTTGGAGAAGAAGAAGAGGAAGAAACTGAGTAAAAACAATGTTTTCCTTCGGTAAAGGAAGTACATTACTAGTAATTATGACAGATGTCTTACTCTAGTCTGAGGAAGCCGTCGACTCTGTCATTATGCCTTTTCTTGTAGTACCAGAGGAGAGGGCCTGCCACCAGGGCAATGATGAGGAGACAGCCGATCACTATTCCAATGATCTTGCCTGGGCCCATGCCTGTAAGGGTACATGTTAGATAAATAATAATGTTAAACTTGTTAATCACTCAAGAATGTTGCACCAAAATCTCTGACAGTCATTATTAGAATGACTTCAAAGAATATCAATTTCTTTTATACACATGTATTAAACAAAATGCTTTGTCTCCTTGTTAGTAGCAGATATGTGAAGGTTTACAATCAAGCAAGGTTGATTTTGGACAGGCTAGTATGACACATTAAACTCACCGACAGGAAATCAGAGCAAAAAAATGAGCAATTGTTTACCATATATCTAATAATTCTATTTGTTGTCATAGAGAGAGGGCATAAAAAAGCATCCGATGTTAGGGCACCCCCGTTATGTGCTATGTCCTTGCAGTACTGGCACTCACCTGTAGGAGGCATCCCAGGTTCAGGAGTGACCCCCAGTGTTGTTCCCTCTGCCTCTGTGCCCTTCCCTGACAGTTGACTACACTTGGCCTCTGGTCTCCTCAGAGTCTCCCTCTGGTCCTGACTCAGCTGTGTTCTCCTGCACTGAGTATTCACCTGTAGTAGTGGTCATAGTAAGTTTGACAATGCATGAACTTCCTTAAACATTACCAAAATCATAAGCATTTTTTGGCTACATGTAAAGACTTCTATAACATGAAAGCCCAAGGCTGGGATTTCTTTAACTTGAACGTCCAAGCCTGGGATTACCTTGGTTTAAACTTGAATTAATATTATACTAATCATTGCTAAGGACAAGTCTAAAATGGTACTCATAAGCGTAAGTCAAGGCTTAGTGTAATAATGGACAAGGTACATGCATATCCAATGAATCAGGAAGAGGTCCCAATTGGAGTCACTAATAGTATGTAGTTTTTTTTTATAATTCACTTATACATGTAAGTAAGAACATCTTAACTCGATTCATGTCACTTTAGATTAATGGACTGATGACTTGAAATTTAGGATTTGTAAATGAGAACCCACCCTAACACATTTAACAGTATAATCATGATTTAAGGATTTCTGTTGCCATGCAGAGACTCCAATCTGGATCTCTAGAATTGCCAATTTTACCAGATCCGAGTCTCTACCCTGACATATACATAACGAAATTACCTTTATTCTAGCCTGTAGCTGATGTGCATTACTCTCTGCACACAGAAAGCCGACAGTCTGACTACCATGGGTGGCTGGTAGGCAGCCGGTCATGACTGGTTCACTGTCTGGTGAGGACAGGAAGTCATGTGATCTGTTGAACCAGACTGGGTCTCTGATGTTCTCAAAACTCCTGTAAGGACAAGTGATGGGATTTCATTAGCAAATTACAAATGTAAACAATCATGTACCATATGAATTTACACTTAAGTTATACATTTTGATGTAATATTACATTTTGTTTGAGTATAAATTCATATGGTATGCAGCAAAGCCAGTGAGACAATTTGTTAACTTGGGACCATATCGGAAAGGACATTGAGAAAAAAATTAGGTTTTGTTGTGTATAATTCTTCAAGATGACAGTTGTGAATATATATTCAAAATGATTTCATCAGGTTGATAAATGAATGAATATTGAATTTCTTTTATTCACAACGATTTATTTTACATGACCCTATGTACAATGTAAAACAAAATTATAATGGTCGTGAATATATACCATCTCTGAGCTTCAAGACAGTTTGTAAAGTTGTCAACATGCAATTTTCCAAAACCTCATTAAGAGAAACTTTTTGTTTTCATACAATTGTCCCAGAGATTCCTTCAAAATACAATCATGTATAATATATACGTATTCACACAGCTTTAGAAAGGTTGGTACATTGTAGTTGTAGTTGCCAAATAATTGGGCTACCATGAAATGATTAAAAAAAACATTTTGGCAAACCTTGGAAAAAACTGCAGGTAGTTTTCAGCTGGCACATCAGCACTTTCCCATGATCCTCCATGCTGGCAGGCAATCTCCATGGCAACAGTCCTAGAGGACTCCTGATTGGCCAGACCGCCAAAGGTTTTCACAAACACAGTTGCATTCACACTGACGGCAGAAACATGGTGCGTAGACAAGGCACTGTCACTGAGAAGAAACAACACGCCATTGCACACATTTGCAGAGGCTTCAAAGAAAGAAGCCGCCTCATGTAGAAGATTGACAACATCAGAATCTTGTGGAGACACATCTTGGAGATAACTTCTTATCCTATCCTTGGTATCTTCAGTAGGATGAGAAGTTTGGCTAAATACAGTCCCCTGACCAGTGACTATGTTGATATGGTCCCACTGTGAGAGTGTGTTGGTGAGGTCTATGGCTGTTTGGACCATCTGTGATTTGGTGCCTGCTCTAGTGTTGTGGAGAATGATCACCAGTGTCTTGGGGTACAGGAAGGCACCAACGTTGTTCTACAATAGAAAAAAAATCATTCAGGTAAACTATGATATACTAGTACATTTCCTAACACCAATTTGAAAGTAACTGAAAAAGAAAATGAACAGCATAATTGTCATGAAAGCCTCTAGTAGCTGAACTACATGTGTGTAATAATTATTTTAAAAAATTTGCAAAGTACTTGACTTGTATAAAGTTTCATGTTTAAAGATGCTGCAGTGCCTGTAAACGTAGTACTATGTACTGTATATGTTAAAGTTGAAAAGAACCCAATCTAGTTATAATAAAGATATCTAAAATTAATGGTATAGAGTGTTACACATATTGCTTTCACACTTTTTTACTTATGAGTTGGAAAAGGGACATTATAGTACTCTGCATTAAGTATGTGAGGGATAAATTTAGTCTAATAAATAGTATATGTTAGCTTAGCTTGTAATGTGACACCTATTACAAGTATTTCTTCTCACAATGTACAATAAGAAATGATATACATGAAACAACAGTTTGCATGTTTGTTTAAATCATGACAGCTGTGTTTTTGATTTGATAACCTTATAATTTTGATAACCATATTAGACTCACACATCAGAAGAGAGAGAGTTTTACCATTATTATTAATAATACCTGAGTTTCAGCCAACACAGTGTCCAGTATCTGTTGTCTCCCTGTGTCCGTACACTGTTGTCCAGACATGACCACCCCTGGGTACACCCTGATGTGACTGGTCAACTCTGACGGACTGGACACAAAGTACTGGTGCAGGATGGGAAGGGAACGGGAGGCCTCACCACTCTCAATGGTCATTATCCAGTTCTGGGGGAGAGGAAACAAGGAAACTGTTTTCAAGAAATTGATGTGTTAGTGACACATCTGTATACCTATCACAGTCAAGAGTAATTCCTGGAATAAAAGAAGGTTACATTTAGAATGTTTAGTAATACATACTTTGCAGAAGGAAAACATGTTGTTTTTGCTCTGTTCCTTCTCATTCTTCTTCTGAATCAGCAAACACATAAGGTTAATGACCTAGACCAGATGGCGGTCACCATGGTAACTGGTGCTGTAGCAGACACCCTGTGATGTTGGAGCTGGAGGGGCTGGTCACTACATGTACATGCAAACAAATCAGCTGCAGTTTGTTATGCTAAACCATGTGAAGGTAAAATTGCTTAAGTTTGCAAATGTTGCTTTTAACTTTCTGCTGATTGACTGAACATTAAAGACCTTTTCCATGTACTTTAGACCTGTAGAAGGTTATTTGGGATACCATACCAGTATAAGTGTAGCTGAGACACACAGTGACTTGTAGAGTGGTGATGACCCAGGTGACATGTTACTGGTCCTGGTGTGGTCACCTGCGGCCAGAATCAGGGTGGAGTTGGTCCTCTGTCCAGCAGTGATGTCACAGCTGTCTGTGGCAGCCTGAGTAGTAGGAAAGATAAAGATGCAATATTGATTGTAGATTTTATAGTGACCGTCTTAAAAGAGTGCTTGCTTTGCATATAAACTCAGATCTAGTAAACTGCCTATCGAAGTAACAAAGTTTTGTACATTAGGTACAACATACAACATACACCAGGAAGGACCCCTACTCATTTCCATAAGTGCTTGAGGTGTGGGGCTCCTCAAAGCTAGGTATGGTAATACTTATTTCAGATGTTGAGTGAGGAATTCTTAGGTATTACTAAGTGCCTTTCTCATGGGCACAGCTATAGGGCCTGGCAGGGATTCAAACCCAGAACCTTGAAGTCAGACTTGAGAGACAAAAACCCTAACCACAAGAGAACCTTTCTTCCTGTGCACAGTCATACATTTGGAAATGATAATTATGACATTTCTATATAGAAAGACCCAAGCAATACCAAATGGCAAATTATACTCTACTCGTACTAAATACACAAATATGCATTCTACCAGGTCAGCTGTCCCATGACAAGCCTGTCCGTCCAGTGTAAAAGTCTGTTGTGCCGTGACCACGCCCCTCCGCAGTGAGTCCTCCGTCCCCTGGAACACTCCCGTGACCTGGTGACCTTTGCACTTTGCCCCTGACTTCCTGATCTTCTCTATCTGTGTCTCTGTCAGCTGGCTGGCTGGGCATCTTCTCTGGGACAGGGACTGCATAGCAGCAAACACCTTGAAGAGTGAAGATGATATCATAAGTTTTCTTATCTTAAAAGTTCATCTGTCTTCACTTGGTAAAAGTCGTTATGAAGCAAGTTTAAACTGTAATGTCCAACGCAGGAAAATTTTGGTGAGTCCATTTTCTTGTGTTGGAGTCATTACAGTTTAAACTTGCTTCATAAGTTTTCTTATAATGGACAGCATGTTGGGGTCTACGAAGTATGACAACATAATGAAAAAGACAATATGAAAATCTAGTATTGTGCAAATGATATGTAAAAGTTTAAGACACTTCAAATGTATCAGTGTACTAGAGAATGTAGAAAGAGAGGTAACAAAAACTCCTTTTTATAGAAAAGGTATTATGATGTAAATGTTACACAGCATAATTATGTAAACCCAGGGTAGCAGTGTAGCGTGATTTTTATTGCACTGTAAAAATAACATTTACATACAAGGTGGTGACATACATAGTCATTGACTTATTCTCATGCCACCACCAAAACAAAGAACAATTCAATAAAAAATTCAACAAAGCAGCATAGGTTGTTGCTTGCTGGGAGGGGGACTAGAGTTACTATTACTGTCAGTAGTTACTTTAAATTATGAAAGATTGAAAGGTCATAGTGAAAGGTCATAGAAACAGGCACCAACTGCTACACTACCTCTTGGCCATCGTTAGGAAAGCTGAGAATCCTCTGTTTGGTCAGGTCCAGACATGTGACCCCCAGTAGGGTCAGGAACTCACTCTGTATGTCGTACACAGGCAGACATCCTGACACTATCTCACCCAGGCCATACCTAAAGGGTAGAACACAAGGTTTATTACAATCAATGTACATGTACTTTATCATTTCAGCATGTAAAACTTTCAAATGTTCGTATATGTGTGATATTCTTCACACTCTGTATCACATGTACACTGGTAGGCATCCAAACTTGACACAATCTCACCCTGGCCATATATTTGTACCTACAGGATAGAACACGTAGTTTATACTTTATCATTCCAGCATGTAAACCTATCATAAAATGATGGCACTTTCCACTATGCAAAGAACGAGAATTCATCATCTGAATTTCTATTTCTCTTTATTCAAATACTAGTAAATGTAAGACACGAAACAGTGGTATATATACATGTACACTATAATTATTGCAAATGAAAGTTGTGAATCAGGATACACACATGTACTGTTGGCTCTTGTTAAACAAGCGGTTGTGAATAAAGGTTTGCTATTCAGTCAATCACCAACCTGATGAAATTATTTACTGGGATGACAAGAGAATCCAGACATAAATCTAAGGGAATTCTAGTTCATGTAATATAATACACTCAAAACACTAAAAATATGTTGCCTACAGGTAATAACAATAAAACCATAATTTGCATTTTGGGACCACCTGGCCAATGTGAACAATTTTGGTGGTCCCTAATAACATAATTATGTTTTCTTGACAGACACAAGTATTAGGAATCCTGTCTATAAAAAAAAATTAATGACCAACTGTACATAGACCAGATTTTGTTGGTCCTGAGAGGTTTTCTTGGGCAGTTTTGATCATAATACAATTAAATCCTTGCATGTACAAGTAAGTACAAATAACAGTAACTGTTGCAACAATTACAATGATCTTATCAATCTAAAAATTACCAGCAAACAAAAACATGAAACTTCTGAGCTGCACTCTTTCTAAGTCTTTGGAGCAATTCTCATCTCCATGTACTTAAGAGGAGGATTAGCATCTACCAAATACAGTCCGTTTTGTTTGTAAGATTTTTTTTCTAACCACAGAATTCCAGTTGCAAGGGTGTTTGAATTGGGGGACATCTTGGTATTATGATAAACCCCGTTAAGGTTGGCGTTAAAACACTTATTGTACCACCATCCCCCCTTGTATAGGTTTGCACAATGCTTAAGATAATTATCATTGTCCCTGTCTAGAGTGCTGAAAGCTGTGTTGTTGTGAATGGCCATGGCATCTCTTAGGTTACAACTTCCGCTGAACGATCCCAGGCGAAGTTTGTAGTTTTCCTCCTCTCCTTCGATGAGAAACGAGTCGTAGTCAGCAAAGTTCTCTTTCCCGTCTGCTCCCATCATGTATATCTGTAGGACGTACTGTTTCTGGTGGGTGAGTTGGTAGATGTGACGGTTTCCCAGCCAGACGTTGCCGCACGGATGTCCGAAGCCTTGCTCGTACGTGCTCCACTTGCGATAGAAGGATTCCCTGTTGTTTCGACGACGCTGGATGACGGTCCAACCGCGGCCACCCTCCATGTGGCACAACACCATGATGCGGTGCGATTTTACAGAACCGTGCGGCAGTGGCTTGATGACGTATATCCCGCTTTTCGCCTTCCCTCCTGACTTCTGCAGGATATCTGCACAATCTAACAGAAAGGATTATAAACATCCATGCTAAAGTGAACAAAAATATGATAAAAATAATTTTTGTTAATATTGGTAACAAGACCACAATAATGATGGGATTTCCAGTCATAATCTATAATCAAGCCTCATAGCTACCCCAAAAAATTACGAAATTGAATTTACAAATGAATGGTTGTAGGTGGGTTTTGATAATTTGAAGTGTAAGACTTACCATGACCATCTGGGGCTTCTGGATTCATGCCACTCTTGAAGTAACGGGGAAATTTACATGAAAAGTTTGCTGGTGTGACCTTAGCTGCAAGAGAAACAAAGACAGAAGTTGTTCAAGATACATACTTAAATTTTGTGTCGTGTAATTTTAACGCAAGTATACAATTCAGCGCCCATGTACTTGAGATTTTTACAATAAATCAATAAACAAAAGTTATTAACTTGAATTTAAACTTAAATGTACATAAAATTGGTAACATGAAATGACTGCACTTGAGTCTATAATTACTTTCTCTATACCTTTTCTGTCACATCTGGTCTCCATTTCATCATGTCTCCTCTTTGCATTTTCCGTCAAAGGCTCTGAAATAAAGATGATTCATTCATTCATTCAAAAACTACAGAACCATCTATCTTTATGTTGACCTGAAATATGTTGGGTGGGGTCATGTAGCGTAGCGGTAGCGCGTTTGCCTCAGGACCAAGAGGTTCTGGGTTTGAATCCAACCCACGTCACTGATTCTGTGCCCTTGGGAAAGGCACTTTACGTGACATTTCTCACTTCACTAAGGCTTTGGTTAGGGGCGTCCCTCGGCTAGGACGTGAAATGGAGGTCTTGTGTCTGGGAAGAGCCACACCCCACGCACGTTAATAAAGAACCCACCGCACCGGTGTGAGTGGTTCAAACCTCACAGTCCGGTCTTACGCAGCTTGTACTTACATGTACAAAAACTGGTGTTATGCCTGAAGGCAGTTTACCGGTTATGCAAAACAAAGAAAACAAAACCATGTAACTTTTTCTCTTACCTTTTCCAGTGTTTCCCTTTTTGGTCTCTGGCTGTATCTTTCTGTTTGAAGGATGTATGGTGGTGACAGTACTGTCTTCCTCACCATGGATACCTGTAGCATTCTGCAGCCAGGCAAGTTTATCTTTTGCCTCCTCCATATACTGCACTATATCTTCATACTGAACTTGACGATCGATGATGTTGACAACATCATACAAGGCAGAACCTTTGATGATGTAAGGATGGTCAGTTTGAAACTGAAAACTCCAGCCTCTGTACCAAAGAAATAAAGTAAAAATTAGATTTTAATTTACCACAAATTAACAGTTACATAATAGTTACAGTGTAAATGTAATAGCTCTGATGATGATGACTGTAATGTACAATTTTGAATTAACAACTTTAAAGAACGGACAACCTATTTTATTCTTTTATATAACTTACCCAAAAGACATACATTTGTACTATACAATGTAATTAGACTAAGTTAAAATGTTTATTTTAAGATACACAATATATTAACCATCGGACACAGGTAATTTCTCACTAATTCTATATCAAATATCATTGTGCATGTAACATCCATACAAAAACTGGAAAATTATGTCAACATGCATAATGATTGGACCATACCACAGACAAAAATAATGGTTCATCGTAATTACATTAAATGTTGTACCCCAAAAAACATTATACAGAATATGAAGCAGCTTACCTCTGATCAGCTGACACAGAAGATTGAGTAGACCCAGTGCTGCATTTTGTGTTTCTTGTGGTTCCAAGCACGGTAAATATGACGCAAAATGCGAGCAGTACATGGCAACTACACACTCCCATGTTTCCCCAACCACAGTGTTTTTTCCTTCGAATTCTATGCCAGTTGTTTGACGGCGTGCGTGTGCTCTCATATGATACTTGAAATTCAGGTTTTTGAGGCTACACAGTCTTCAAAAATAATATTTCGTCTGCATATCATACTGTATACACCCACTCAAGGCTTTTGGGCTACGTGATTTTATAATACCTTAAAGTCAGATTTCTAAAACTTGCCTTTAAAAGATTATCATCTGCATATCATTTACGCCCACTCAATGACGTAATAAAATGCGCCCACTCAATAAAATGGTGACAGAACATAAATGTGCTCTCTTGACATGATTTTATCAGAGTCTACATGTATATTTCATCTGCATATCACATAAAATGTACACATACTCACTGACCTAATAAAAATAGTGATGCAGAACATCAATGTTGACTCTCTTTTTTATGATATTTGAAATTCAAATTTCTGAGACAAATCTGTAAAAGTGTATATTTCATCTGTATATCATATACGCCCACTCAATGACATAATGAAAATGGTGACGAAACATAAAATGTGCTCTCTTGATTACTTGATTTTATGATATTTGAAATTCAGATTTAAAAAAAAACTGACATAGCAAAAATGGTGATGTGAAACATACATGTGCTCTCTACTTGATTTAATATTTATTATTATTTACATGGTTTTGTGATATTTGTTTGAAATTCAGATTTATGAGACTGATTTATTATGACGCTAAAAGTGATATTTCATCTGCATATCGTAAATACACCCACTCACTGGCGTAATAAAAAAATTGGTATTGTGGTGTTATATCATACAAAGACATATACCATACAGTCAATTACAAAATTGTATATTACTTGACAAATAAGGAAGACATAGAATATAAATTTTTTGTCTACAAAATTCCAAAATTATTTCAAAAAGTCTTACCTGTCTTGATATGGCTCAGTCCATATCACATTGTTGGTCTTTTCATTCATGCTGAAGTAGTTGTAGTAATCCGCCATCTTGGTCCAAACGTCCTCTAGTGACGCTATATGCGTCCACGTACCCATGTTCTCACAGGACACCCTCTTTGCATTGGTTCGGTCCGACCACGGTCCGATTGTGTACGAGAATACGCGGAACGCCTTACCCCTCAGATGCTCTAAAACACTCGGCGCTACGACAAAGTCCGTTATCAAAATCACTGCCGTAACGCAATGCGTCGTGTTGCTGGACTGCAGCGCATGATCAACGATACCCTGTACGCTGACAAAACTGCGCCTGAGATCTGTCTCACCCACGACATCTGCTTGGTTCAAGAATTCAACCATTGCTGTACGGACGTCTGCGTAAGCTCTAAGCATCCCAGATACAAACTGTTGTCCTGATGTAGTGAGGATGTTGGCGAAGTCAAAGCGAGTGAGAGTAGCGATGAGGGCGGTGGCTGTTGTCTTCAGGAGGGAGAGGTTCTCCGCGTAGTGAGGATCTAAGATGATGATGACGTCTTTGGGACTGCTGGCCGCACTAGAAAACCACTGGAAAATCACAAGGTAAGAAAATAGAATGAATATTAAGTACAAGAAGAAATAAAATTACTAAAATTCGTAATTAAACATTTTTCCATTGTCCTGTTACTGTATTTCTCTTGCAACTGATACCCATACATTTTGTAGTTATCATGGCATTAATTTTAAGCAGAGAAAATGCTATTATCTATATTACGATTTATAACATTTGTGGAAGAATTATAATCACAGTTGACTATCACTACCAGACCTGGGACCAGTCTGTAAGGTTTATTAAACCACTGACACCAGGAAGAACCCCTTCTCTTTCTGTTAAGTGCAGTGTTGGGTCTTTAACATGCTTGACGTGTGGTTCTCCTAAAACAAGGGACCTCTGGCTTTATATCCTATTGAAGAAGACGTTCCTACTAGTAACTGAAGCTAGGTACTTATTTTTACCTGACTCAAATGAGGAAATAGGTGCAAGTACCTTTCCCAAGAGCACAACATTGAGTGGGGCCTGCCAGGGATTTGAACCCAAATTGTCAGTCAACAACCCTACCAACCCTGAAGCACAAGTCTTCCCCTTGTCATCTTCAATGCTTGCTACTAGCTATAATTTTGACAATTTTCTGACAGAGATACTTCTGGTGACTAAACTGACAATGTGACTACTCACAGTTCTGATAGGCAGGTCAGTCATCTTGTTGGAACACTGTTCCTGGGTCTCCTTCAGGGCAGGGTAGATGCGGAGGAACCTGGAGGCCTGGTCTCCGTAGAACTGCCAGGCAATGTACTGACTCTGCTGTAGAGTCACCTCCCATGTACTGTCCATACCCAGACTGGCACACAGAGACTGGTACAATGTCTGGGGAGGAGAGTTCATTATTAACATTTCATTAATGAGGATGGTATCATTTTAGTCTAAAATTAGTCGACTTGTCTGGATTTTATTTAAATTGCAATAAAACAATTTTTTCAAGAATGAAATTATATTGAAAGATAAAAAGATGGACAATTTAATTTTGAAAATGACATGAAACCAATATAACACTGAAATAGTCATGTATGTCTATTGTACCTGAGAATTGTCACGCCTCATGATAGACATTATTAATATTTTAATATACAAAAGATGTTTGGACAAAAACAACTCTTTTCATGTTTGGAACATTGAATCTTGCAAATCATCCTTTCAGTTCTTGATTTCTGCTGTCAGTTAATGCATGAATGTTGCCAATGACATCATGGTAAGCCAGTTCACAACCAGGAACCACAGCTTGTGAAAAACGTTCTTTTTGAGATTTTAGAAAAGCAAACATTTAATAACTAAGTCTTGTACATACATGTAGTCATGATTTATTTTGTACTGCAGGTATTTTTCTTCTTGAGTCTGTAAAGATGCAAGAATTTTTGTCTCTCAAAATGACAGAAGGATACTATAGGTATTTGCTAGACCTACATGTATGAGCCACTTTATCAGTACCTGGTTATTTATGAAGTCCTGTAGCCCTGTCTCCTCCCCCACTGTCACGTCAACACTGTACGGCAGGTGGAAGGCTGGAGACCTCCTGGACACCTCCCTCTGGAACTGCAGTTCTCTCTGGAAACTCTGGGGGAGCTTCTTACAGGTGTCATAGAACTCACCTGTAAAGGGACAGATACCTGGGGTCTGCTGGGCCACCTGGGGGGACGAAACAGCTGTTGTTTAATTCAAATAGACTGCCATTTTCACCAGGTTTTAGTGTCATTATGTGACTTGTACATTTGATAAACAATGACATTACTGACTAACAGGCTACTGTAGTTTAGACATACATGTAGTGAGATCTAGCCAACTAAAATGTTATGGCTACCTCCAAAGAATGTCAGTGATTTGGAAGGCCAAAGCCTAAGAGGACAACTGAGGAAGAGGTAGACTGACAACATAAGGGAGGACTTCCACCACCTAGACCTGTGTAGTGATAGAGGCAAGTGTTGGGCTACCATCAAGCCACAGCATTGGTGTGCAAGCACGTCTAACCCTCAAAAGACAGGGAACAACAGACACTAAACCGGATATTGAGAGAATGAATTGTTTTCTGTTGAAGGATCCAAAACTTTTTGTCTAACTACTCAAAGACTTTGAGTAGTTTTTTCTCTTAGTAACATCACATGATTTTACTCCACTGACCACATATCCAATCTCAAACTCCTCAGCGGCTTGTTTGACAGCCTGTTCCGCCAGACTGCGCAGCTCTGCGGCTGTGACACTGATCCTGGCCGGACACCTGGCCTCCAGGCGCCGCAGCTTCTGTATGTCCTCCTCATCAAATGGGGTCGTTGGACACTGCTTGGTGGAGGACTCTGTAAGCTCGGAAAACATCTGTGGAAAAGACAATTTGGTGATTGTATTCATTCATTTATTTTCCGTCAGATACAGAGCAATTCTCAATTACCCTTCCTGGTAAAATTAGAACCTTTAAGTTACTTATGTTGTACATATAACTTGATAGTAATTTAATAATATGTCTATTTAAACCAATATTTAAGTTACTATCAAACACTAGACAATATCTATCATAACAAAAATATAGAATATACCATCATGATGATGATACATTATGTATCAATAAATAATTTGAGAACAGTACATTTTATACACAATACTGTAATTTATTTTATAACTGGGCCGTAATAACTTTTTATTAACTAGTGGGTTTCTAAATAGTTTCATAGAATAATTTGAATCCTTTTTGAACACTGGACTCGGACATTGGAATTGTTGATGGTACAATTTTTAAATAGGGACACCGTATCATTGCCAAATTATGATGTAAACACGTCTAGGTATACATCAAACTGATGCAAGCCATTTGAAATTATGATGTTAGGGAACAAATTTGCAAAGTTAGACAGCTTAACTTCTTACCGCCTGGCCATCTGTGAGCCCCTGCAGGTCTATCTCATCCACATGTACACAGCTGAGTCCCAGTAGAGACAGGTACTCACTGGACACATTGTACACAGGCAGGCAGCCTGTACTGCCACGGATGTCACCATCATACCTGAACACACACACATTACAGTCAGACTAATTTTTTTACAAGATTAAACATAAAGTCCTAAATATTTTTGCTGCGGGCCCATGACTTTGTGATGACTATTACATTCGTTGGTTCCATATTTGGGTATTGGATACATTGAAGGAAAACCAAGCAGATGTCATAAAGGAAAGACTAGCTGAATGAAACAAGAAGTGACCCAATTCAATACTGCACATAGCTGCTAATACACTATATGTATGACAAAACATCACTACTCTATTAGAGTAGTACTATAATTTATTTACATTAGGACATTTATGTCCAGTCTTATTAGCCCAAATCATGTCACCAAGGTGACATGCAGATACTGACATACACAAGAATAGATATATTTTTGCTATTTTTGTTGTTAACAGTCCCTCATGAATTGTGATGTCACAAACATCAATTTGACTGTTATGATACAAAGTTGATGTCTTAAAACCATTACAAAGTATCTTGTGTGGTCAGTATAGATACATTGTAGATTTGACTGCAAATGAAATCTTACATAAAGTTGCGTGCTTCACTCCAAAGAACATTCCCAACATGCTCTCCTGGGCTCAACATCCCATAATATTCCCTGACCAGATGCAGGTCCTCCATGGTCTTCACCACGGCCCATGATCCTTTGCTGTCACATGCTAGTTGCTTAGCAACAGGGTCGTCAGCCAGCTGTCCAAATGTGAAGGTGAAGACCCTGACCCCTAGATGTGATGTGTTCTCCTGTGCTGTTTCATACAGGACAGCCAAGTCCAGATGGCGATTGGTCAGCAACAACAGCACCTGAAGACAATTGAAAAACATCAACATGAGTTACGTTTGTGAAGATTAATCATCCAGGATAATACTAATAGGAAAAGTTTTGAATCTTTACTTCTGGATAAAAATAAGAAAATAATGTCAGACGTTTCAGACGCCGTCCGGCATCTTTCATCAGTGAAATATTCAAAATTGCGATAGAACTCGGAACGGCACCGTTAATTCTAAAAGTATTTATGTTCTAAATAAACAAATAATAAGTTAGCAACAAGCGTTCTATAGATTCTATATACAATACACATGGTAAAGTATTAACTAATGTAATGATAAAGATAAGTGAGTCCCTAGATATGCTGTAAAGTAGAATCCCATGTACTTGAAAGTTCAACTCTAAGTCCTCCCTTCCTGTTGAGTGATGGTTTATAAAGTCTTTCATAAATCGCCTCCTTGACTCCACGCTCAAACCAGCGCGCCTCCCGGTCCAAGATGTCCGTTGATTCAAGATGAAAAGAATGTCCTTTATGTTTGTCCAGATGGTGCCATATGGCCGAAGAAAATCCACTGTTACTGGCCCTGCAGTGTTGCTTATATCTTTCCTTGAGCGGCTGACTGGTCTCCCCGATGTACGTTTCTTTGCATTGATGATCTTCACATTTTAGTCTGTAAATGACATCAGATTTCACACAGTTTTTAAGTTTGCACCGATCAATATCTCATTTTTGATTCTCACCATCCCTTGGAACAGAAACTTGGTGTGATAAGAACCTTGTTTCATCGAGCAGACACCTTGATTACTTCGGCTGAAGCCAGAACCAAGGAACATACTCACCTCAAGAAAGCTCTATCCAAGTGTGGATATCAACAATGGACTTTTAACAAAGCACTTAAGCCTTCCGACTCATCTAAGAAGACGTCAAGAAACTCACAGTTAGACAGGACTAAAACAGTCAACATTTCCATCCCATACATCCAAGGAGTTTCGGAGAAGATAAGACGTATCTTACACAACTACAACATCGCCACCAACTTCAAACCATGTCGCACTCTCAGACAGATGTTGTTTCATCCAAAGGACAAACTTAAAAACTGTGTGAAATCTGATGTCATTTACAGACTAAAATGTGAAGATCATCAATGCAAAGAAACGTACATCGGGGAGACCAGTCAGCCGCTCAAGGAAAGATATAAGCAACACTGCAGGGCCAGTAACAGTGGATTTTCTTCGGCCATATGGCACCATCTGGACAAACATAAAGGACATTCTTTTCATCTTGAATCAACGGACATCTTGGACCGGGAGGCGCGCTGGTTTGAGCGTGGAGTCAAGGAGGCGATTTATGAAAGACTTTATAAACCATCACTCAACAGGAAGGGAGGACTTAGAGTTGAACTTTCAAGTACATGGGATTCTACTTTACAGCATATCTAGGGACTCACTTATCTTTATCATTACATTAGTTAATACTTTACCATGTGTATTGTATATAGAATCTATAGAACGCTTGTTGCTAACTTATTATTTGTTTATTTAGAACATAAATACTTTTAGAATTAACGGTGCCGTTCCGAGTTCTATCGCAATTTTGAATATTTCACTGATGAAAGATGCCGGACGGCGTCTGAAACGTCTGACATTATTTTCTTATTTTTATCCAGAAGTAAAGATTCAAAACTTTTCCTATTATTATCAACATGAGTTGTTTGTCTAGAAATTGAAATTTTGACCCAATTTTTTCAATTTTTCCTACAATTTTTAAACATCTAACTTTCTAAAAAAACAAGCTCTTCTTCTGAAAATATACTCATAGGCAAGGAATAGGATACAAAAACAATTCAATTGAGCTAAAAATGAAACAGTTCAATGCTACGTTGTATTCTTTCTGACTTTATTGAAAAGTGGCCAGTAGGCTAAATTGACTATTTTATGAATAAACAAAGTCTCTCAAACAAACAAACAAAAAACAAGACTCACAGGGAAACATTTGGTGTCCTCCTCTTGATGTTTGTCCTTGAAGTGACCCATAGCTGTTTTGATGGTTGAGATGAGATCCTGAGTGGTGCTGTGTGTTGCTGATGTAATTCTGTCCACAGTTTCAAGCCATGTCTGTCTGTTTGTCTCTGTTCCCTGTGCACATGAAAGGTCATTTATGTCATAAAACATTTGGTAGGGGCCCACTGAAGTAGATAGAAATTGTTGCAAATGTAGGTGCAAACTTTAAGTTCAAATTCTATACACACATAACAGAAATTTTTCATTTTCTACAAAGGTATATGTGTTGGTTGTCTAATCTAATTTTTGCAAACAGCTCACTGTATAAAATGACAGGGAAAGATAGTGCCCTGTACACATCAGAAAATGATAATCACTTCAATAGGGGCCTACTAAAATTTGATAGAAAAATTGTAGTGTGTGCAAAATGAATAAATGCTGTACACACATAATAGAAATATGCCATTTTGTAGGTTATCTACCTAATTTTTGAAAACAACACACATATAAAATAACTGGGAGAGATAGCATGCAAAACACACAACTTATTATTAATTCACTCACTCTGTCACACTCACTGATTCACTTACTCATTTACTCACACACTCAAAAATAGTGTTTGGTATGAAATTTTTCAAGTCTTAAACCTATAAAAGCTTGTTGAGTAATTAGACCAAATTAATGAGATAGCATGTATTATTACATACAGCAAATGTCTAAGAAAGCAACAACCAGAATCATCTGATACTAACTTGCTGAAAACCATCGCTGTGCAGTTGTTGTCTAGCGACCATGAGCTGTCCAGTGTCGTACTTGGAGACAGTGTTGACGGCCAGTTTGGCTGCAGCCTTCATGATGTCCAGACTGTCGTCCAGCGCTGGGTCTACAATAATGGCCACATCCTTGGCAGGGGAGGTCATACCTGCATACCACTGCAAATAAAAAAGGATACAACGCTGCCTAAAAGCCCTGATCGGACTACATAACTGAACTGTTATTTTACTGGGAAGTAAACTTCCCATTCATGACTTGGAACAAAAACCCTGCTTTCAACTGTGTTGATCTGCAACCCTGAAGATATATCAAGTGTTGACCACATTGACATATGGTAATAACTTATTATGTTGGTTTTGATGGATACACAATAGTCTGGAATTCCATTAACATAATCATATTGTAACAAGAAATAACAAGTTACTGCCACTGTATTTCTGTCTTATAACTGGCATTTACATTGTCAGTGGAAAACCTTAAATTTATAACCATACCATTTTCAGCACCAAGGAGAGGACCATTCTGAGTCCTTGTCACACATTCAGAACCTTCCCTTGACCTCTAACCAAGTTTGGCTGAAGTTTGGGGGCAGTCTTTGGGACCAGATTTAGGCCACCCTTTCCTTTCTATATAGATCAAATGAAATTTAAGTTGAATTTGACTCAAATGTGACTCCCAACCACATCCACTGCAGACGGGTGGCGTCGGGTGGTGTAGTGGTTAGAGCAATCGACTGTGAACCGGGAGACCCGGGTTCGATTCCGAGTCGTACCCGGGACACGTCTGAACATGCGCCCCGATGTTGTGCCCTTGGGAAAGGCACTTTACACGAATTTCCTCACTCCACCCAGGTGTGAATGGGTACCTAACTTCGGTTGGGGAAAGTCGTATTGAGGTCACCTTGTGGTGCCGAATGGCAGCCGCACAGACCCTTGCGACAGTTCCACAAAAATAATTGTGGAACAAATATGTGTATTATTTGTATTATTTGATTGTTGTAATTGTTGTGATTTGTATTGATTATTATGTGATACCCTGCACCAATTCAGCCGTATAAAGGCTGCGACTGCACGGGTACTGTTTGGACAATAAACCATTTATTATTATTATTAGACTGATTCTGGAAACCAGTTATTCACAGCAAGCCTATCTCTTCCAAACATTTTGAAACATTTGACTAGTGCAGTTGAACAGTAATCAACCTTGCTGAACACCAGCCAATCATAACCAACCTAAGGCTTGCTCCCGACCTACTCCTAACCATGGTTGGGGGGAGTTAAGCAGTGTTTGGGAGGTCATAGCCAATTATGTGTGACTTACCGACTGACTCCTAGGGTCAACACCACCGCCCTCTTGACAGGACTCAGGAAGGTCGTTGACACTTGGGTATAGCCTGGTGTAGCCTGTTGGGGCGTCAATGAAGAACTGCCACCTGGCCCCACTGTTCTGCTGGAAGACTGAGAGCCAGTCTATCTCAGCACTGCTGGACACACACAAGGAGTCTAGGAGAGCCTGAAGATGCAGCAAAAATACTTTTTTCTTCAAAATTTACTTCAAGCAATATGAAATCAGGATGCACTCATGCAACATCGGAATGTAAACCCAATGCACATGGACTGTTGCAAGTTAGGAGCAGGTACACTTAGAAATCAGAAGTTAGAATCAGAAATTCCTGCACAGCTCCAACTTTACCTGCACTAACCTGCATATACCCAGTACATGGACCAGTGTAGGTTAGGTGCAGGTAGACATCAGAAATACCTGCACAGCTCCAATTTTACCTGCACGGACCTGCATATACCCAGTACATGGACCAGTGCAGGTTAGGTGCTGGTAGACATCAGAAATACCCGCACAGCTCCAATTTTACCTGCACTAACCTGCATATATCCAGTACATTCATTTGTACATGGACCAGTGCAGGTTATAGGTAGACATCAGAAATACCTGCACAGCTCCAATTTTACCTGCACTAACCTGCATATACCCAGTACATGGACCAGTGCAGGTTAGGTGCAGGTAGACATCAGAAATACCGTGCACAGGCTCCAATTTTACCTGCACTAACCTGCATATACCCAGTACATGGACCAGTGCAGGTTAGGTGCTGGTAGACATCAGAAATACCTGCACAGCTCCAATTTTACCTGCACTAACCTGCATATACCCAGTACATGGACCAGTGCAGGTTAGGTGCTGGTAGACATCAGAAATACCTGCACAGCTCCAATTTTACCTGCACTAACCTGCATATACCCAGTACATGGACCAGTGCAGGTTAGGTGCAGGTAGACATCAGAAATACCTGCACAGCTCCAATTTCATAATCTACATATGTAAATTGTAAGTGCTATTTTAAACTATGTGGGTGTTTTCCAGCATGTCATATACTGTAGATAGATTAGGTTGCATCATCAAACATTACATCTTGATACTTTTAATCACAACTTCGCTAATGCAGCAATTTTCTGCAACCATCCTTAACCAACAGGTTACTGAATTTTTTTTCAATAATGATTTTTTCTGAACTGTAGAAATACCTTGTATGGATCAGAGTCTGAAGTATTTGTGTAGATTACCCTAGCCTGGTCAGTCAGATGGATGTTACTGGTACCATTGGAAATTGGCCGGTGGTACCGCTGGTCAGGTACCATGTCTGGTGTGGTGTTGGTACAGGAGTCATACTGTGAGTTGATGTAGGGACATGTAGGCAGCAGCTTCACAACCTGAAACAGTGTTGGAAGAGTTAAGAAGGTTAATGGTACTGGTGTATAAGTACCATGTTTGTTTTGGTACTGGTGTTGGTACAGGATTCATACTTTGTGTTGACATAGGGATATGTAGCCGCCTATTGTAGGTAGCAGCTTCACAACCTAAAACAGTTATATGTACTATGGAAGATTTGAAAGTAAGTATTTAAAGCATAGCACAACAACCAAAAAATGTGTTGCCATTCTAACCAGATGGACCAACAACAACAAAACACATTTTGGTCATATTTCATCACCAATGACTTCAAAGACAAAGCTAAAGCTTGACTACTACAAAAGCTACTTGATCAAATATGTCTTCACTTCTTGGTCACCACTGACCCTAAATGGTCGACAACTTATTTGTTTGCGGTAATGATAAAAGATAAAACTGCGAATATAAAAGTACCGTAAAAGATTGTGATTTACATTACTCAAGCAGCTGTATAGGTTTTGAAAACTGTCAGATGTTTCAAGAAGCATCCACTTCTGACAGATTTCAAAACTAATCCAGTTTCTTGAGTAACAATTTTGTTGTGAACTCAAGCTCTGTTCTTTACCTGAGCGGCAGTCTCCAGTGCCCCTGCAGTAGTCCTGACAGCCTGTTCTATAAACCCCCTCAGCTGTCCTGCTGTGGTCACCTCTAGTCGGCTGCACTTGGACTCCTCTGGTCGGAGCTTGTCCACTTCTTCCCTCGTGTACCTCTGAACTGGACATGCTGGTACCACTGATGCCTTATTCTCTAAAACCTGCAATTTTTAGATAAAGATGTTAGGCAACAACAATTTACTTTGTTGGCTGTTTTGTTAATTACTTTGTAAATTGGCTCTCAGATTTGCCCTCTTAATTTTTTCTGGGATTCAATAAAAAATGTTGGTTCTGAATCAACACAGAAATGCGCCTATTTTGGCCCCAATAATTACTTGAAGAGAGTCCTTGTCATCCTAGTTGTTACAGTTTTTCCATTTATCAATGCAGTGGTTTGATTACACAGTGGTAAAATCTGGGCTGCAAAGTTCCCACATTTCATAGAATCCGAACTGTGTTCAATGGTGTTCGATCTGGGCAATTCGAATCGAACCCGCGTTCCATTTCGGGGTCACCTGCGGTCATTTGCAATAAAGCGGCAAAACAAGCCCTTTTGCCTGAGTGACTCGTAATAGATAAAAAACAACACTTTTCTATAGATACAAACAGTTTCCAGGATAGTACATGTCCGCTATCATTTTTGTGTGGACATGTAACATGTAGCGAAGCTACTGTCGTATCCTTGGGTGACCTTGAATACTGTAATGATTCTTTACGCCTGTATGAAAAACACAATGCACACTTTTGGGAGATATGACATGTCTGCAAAACTCGTTCAAACCTGGAAACATGGACAGTCTAACATACCCCATTTACGGCTCAAAATGACTGTCAGGGTTGTCCCGAAAATCATGCTTTTGGAATTTTTGAAAAATGCGCTTGATTTTGAATTATGGGTAATTTAGTGCGAAAAAAGCCAAAAACTTCGATTTTTTCACCTATTTGTCGACAAAAACTATACTTAAAGTCAGAAATTAAAAAATCCCTAAAGCACGATTTTTCATCTCATTCCTAGTCGTCGAAAAATATAAAAATCAGTGATCTTGCGTAATATGACATTGTGTAGCCAGGTTTGCTCGGTGATTGGCTAAAATATGGCGCTCCGAAATCCCGAAAATTATCGACTTTTTTTAACGAAATCCGAAAAAATCATCCATTTAGCGCAAAAAATCACCATTAAATGTATGTAAAGACGATAATTTTATTTTATTTCAATGAAATTTCCCCTCGATACTAGTTTGTTTATTTTCAAATGTTTTACGGTTAACCCAAAATCGCATCTTGTAACCCGATACTTTATCGAACGCACACAGCAATGGGAAAGAATGCCGTAGTGACAGACCGCCGTGTTAAATAATTTTTTAATCATAAAATGATTAACCATGCCAGTATGCTGACTTCATGGCTATTGAAGGTAACATGTACATTTTATATAAATTTTTGTGTAATCTACGTTTTTTGGGTTACAATAATGAATTTGGTCATCTGGTCTATTTGGTGCAATAAACAAATCTCTAATATCATAAAACGTAGTGACACTTACATGGACATCAGTAGCACCAGCCTGCTGTAGTTTGTTCACAGACAAGTCGACACAGAGGACACCGAACAGGCTCTGCAGGGGGTCATATGTCGCCGGGCGGGGCACAGCACAGCAACGGGATGACAGGTTACCTGCTGACAACCTGGAAAAGACATAAGCATCAAAAGATACTGTAGGGCTTGAAATACCACCTGAATATGCAGGCAAGTGCATATAAATCTGACCTGTACTGGTCCATGTGCTGCTTTTATGCTCTAGGCATATGTGGATTTTGATCTGTGTACTGATAGCCGGCAGCTATGTTTTGAATGAAATTTAAAAGGAATAAGGACAATGGTTTTTGAACAGTTTTTGGTATGATCCATACTTCCTAAACTACAATGTATATTAACTAAAATTTGTCTGGTGCAGGTAATTTTTAATGTTACCTGAACCAGTGCAGGAATACAGGAATACAACTTGGAGCACTGAACTGCTAGCATTATTAAAATTCTCTGTCAAAATCCTGATACAGTGACAGAGAGCATTATATCTCTTTAATTTGGTACTGTAAACATTCAGAGTATTTATACAGAGTAAACAACAATTTCTGATATGATCATAAATCAGGCTCTGCTCTCATTATAGCACAACAAGGGAAACAACAGGGAAAGTTGCTTTTTTTTGTCACAGTGATAGAAATTAGAGTTCTTAAGTTTTCAGGGTAACATATCGATACCTGTCTGGAACAATAGTTGTCCATCTTGCTGCACTGCCATTTAGAGGATAGTGCATCCCATAATATCTGGTCAGTCTGGTTACCATGGTGACATCATCAGTGATGGGTTCCCATGAACCCTTGGTTGCACAGGCCAGGTGTTGGAGGATTCTGGGATTGATGCTGGGGTTGAAGGTGTAGGTGAAAATCTGGATGTCTTCTGAAAGTCCCTCTAGGACACTTTGCACTGGAACAAAAATATGCATCATATAAACTTGACATTTTATAGTTTATTGGGATATTCATTAATTGTAAAAGCAATGACCAGTCTTTCTAGATTCCAAAACACATAACGTTAAACATCTAGAAGTACACAATCATATAAAAAACGACAACAGTACACTGCTAAACAACATGAATTTCCAAGTAAAAAAATACAGTTCCAGACTAAGACTAAGAATACAGTATCATCAAGCAAATATATACCAACCATAAGAATATCAGAACAGAAATTTAATAAATTTAAGACAATTAAAATGCTTTATGTGCCAACTGACATTTGATAACAAACACTTGAAATGAATATCCAGGGCCCAAGACACTACAGAAAGATGTATAAAGATATCATCAACAATGCCAATTTATATGAAGTTAATTTGATACTAACCTGTTTCCATATGGACAGCATGGTCTGTTAGATACAGGACAGCCTTTATACAAGCACTGCTGTCCTGTAGGGCTGCCACCCCTGCCTGTAGAGCTGACTTGGTATCTTCTGGACTCAAGTCATCAGGCAATATTTTGTCCAACAGGTCAGACACAGGGAAGGGTAGAGTCACCTGCTGTAGCTGTGAGAACTGTAAACAACAGAGGAAACTTAAGCCTAGTGTGATGGAATCCAATTGTTTGTACCAGTTTGGCCCAAGAATGTGAAGGCTAGGTCAGTCCGGAATGGAGATCTAGAGAGGGAGGTCCTGGTGGTGTCTGTCTTAGGATAGGAAGTTGATTAAACAGTTAAAGTTCGGACTCTGTGACTCGGCTCATCCGTGACACCTAGGAAGAAAAATGTTGTGTTTTCTGTTTCAGTCCTAAATAAATTAGGGTCGGTAGGTCGGGATTATCTTTTTTTTTTATTATACTTCAGTGATATCTATAAAAAATTAAGGTGTCCAACTTATACAATACAGCTTAACAAAGTAAAACTTGCATGAGGACACTTTTATTTTCAATGTCAATGTTAGAAAACCATTTGTACCACCAGGTGTCAGATCATGGTTGATCAGCTAAAAAAATTATGTCTCTTGCAGGGTTCCACCCCCCCAAGAAGTCTAGGGTCGGCAGGTTTTTCTAGGGTCGGTCGGGAAACAGGAAACACAAGATTTTTTCCCTAGGCCTTTATTCTTTATACAAGCACTTTACTGTCTAGCTACCAAAAGCGCTAAAACATTTACCCTAAACATTTAAGAAAATGCATGGTACAGTATGTTTTTTCAGAATAGCAAAACCATTTAAGTTGGTATTTTGATGATGTAGGTTCCATCTCCTTTTAACAGTACATGTATTTTGTACTCCTTACAAAAAAATTCTACAATGTAGATAGAGGCATTGGGAAGTCTAATAATATCTCTATAAACTTCACTGTTTTCTCTAGCTATCAGCTATCAGTATGGGGATAATGTACAGAGATCATCATAAAAGCGTATAGTAAGTGACATGCATGCTATATATGGACAGGGCATCTTGTTTGTATGGGAAAATGCTGAATTAGTATTCTGCTCAGGTAGCATAGTGTACCTGATGAAAACAGCTTTTGTTGGTCAGAATGTGTTTTTCTGATATATCGTTTAAGATTGTGCATTTTCTTCTGGAATAACCATTTTGTTTTAACTGGCAGATAAAACTGACTTGTCTTTATTGTAAATGAAAAATTTTGTTCTTCATCATTACAGTAGAAATCAGGTTTATCAGGCAGTTGAAACAAAATGGTCGCATGCACGTAGCCAGGATTTTGTTGGGGAAGGTTTGTTTCTTTAGTAACTTCCTTACTGTTTCCTTGGGGGTCCAGGGGCATGCTCCTCCAGAAAAGTTTGAAAATTGAGCCATCTAGAATGGCATGTCTATGCATTTTTAAGAGGATTTCAAAGAAAATAATCAGAGACAAAAAGGATTCCAGTCCCGCAGGTGATACAAATCAGTTGAACTTCACTTTTAAAGAAAAATCTTGGACCTTTAGAAAAAAAGTGGACCTTTGAGCATGTGTGTTGGGGGTTCTTCCGAATCCCCCATGGCTATGGACATGGCTCATACTGACATCTCTCCCCCATCAAAAAAAAATACCGGTAAACAGAAACACCACCAGTCCTGAAAAATGAATAATGACATCAATGGCTTACCTGTAAATCTCCATTTATGATGACTGCTATCTTGTCCCAGGGGCTCAGAGTCTGGAGGAGAACTGACATCGCCTGTCTCATCACGGACTGGTGTGTTACTATGGTGATGTCAACAACAATCACTACATCCTTCTGAGGAGAAACCGTCTGCACAAATGCCTAGAGACAGCAAAACAACAAAAAGGGCTGTTACAAGTAATAGACATCTTGTGGCTATTGACAGGCTTACTTGTCAATAAGATATTTTTCCTACTTATTGACAGACTGACCCCAACTCAGTGACCCAGACCCTAACCCTTATTTATTTATTTATTTATCTGTATCAGTATAACTGCCTTTTGGCGTAACACACCAGCTTCACAGGCACGCGGCGCGGCGGCAGCTGGCTACATTACACCGAATCGACTTGTTACACTTAACCCTTGAACATCTAACTCTTCACAATTTGCTTAAAGCTATCTAATGATGGTGCCCCTACTGTACTTGGTGACAGTGAGTTCCACTCTGCGATACATGTAGTTTTAGGAAAGAAATGTGTTTATGAGGATTTACAACATTTGTGCAAGGATTGACGTAACAGGTGACTATCACCTCTTCAAAGATGTCAAACCTGAGACCAGACTGTAAATACGTTGAAGAAACTTAAAATTTTTTTGCTATTGACAGGCAAGCAACCAACTACCATACACACTTTCTAAGGAAATTTTTAATGTTATCTGCAGAAAATGTATTTCAAACCCTGAGAGCAATGGAACAAAAAACAAATACAAACAAACAAACAAACAAACAGATGGGACAAGCTAGTCTCACCTGGCTTAGTCTGGCATCTATGCTCAAGTTCCTGGATTGGTCAGGAGGCATGGTGATTCCAGGAAATATCCGGCTGAGACCGGTTCTAGCGTCCAGGTACCTGGTCCACCTGACCCCGCCCTGTCCACCTGTGTACACATCCTCCCAGCTGTGCAGCAGGGTGCCACTTATACACAGGGAAGCCTGCAGTGTCTGGGGGGTGGGGGGAGTGTATTTGGTCAACTAAAAATGTTGTCAGGGGAACATCGCAGACAGGCTATAATGGTTTTTTTTATCTTCCTTATCCTAAATCTTTACATCTCCAATCCTTTTATTGTGTTATGTTAATTTTATTTCTACGATTATATGCTAATAAACAAACAAAAACATCATAATTCACTTCTGATACATGTGTTTGTACATGACTGTGTAAAAAGTTATATCTAGCCTGGGTACCATCCTCCCTATGTAGTTTCTGCTTGCTCCCTAGAATTAGTAATGTAGCTAGCTAGCTTGCGATGGAAATGATAACAATGACCAATAAAACATGTAGGAAATTCTTAATTTTTTTTTCATATGAAGACCTATCATGCCATGGAGGCCCCTCATTTTCCCAAGACCTACCCAACTACAAATCACTATATATTATATATAAAGTATAATAGGCCTTCTTACATGTAAGTTATGATGACCACAAATATGCAGAAACACACACAGACAGACCAAAAACAATATCTCATTTTTTCATGTAAGTAAAAGTAAGCACAACCCTTAACCGTTAACGTCTACTTGTAGATTAGTAGTTTACACGTACACGCGTAACACAGTTACGCAATCGTTTATTTTTTGTCGCTGAGTCAACACCAGCTGTTTGTTCTCGTTATCGCAGATTGACAAGTCATGTTTATTCTTCCCAGGAAACCACACTGAGGTCTGGTATTTTATCTCCTTATTACACCAAGTTATTGACCCTGGCTATGCTAGATCATATCGATCGCCATCATGCACCAACATGTAGTATGATGATGTTAGCGTTATTCGTCATTTTGATTTTGAAAAACAAAGAAACAAGTTTGGACACGCCATACTCTCCACGCAGAGGTTTGGATATGGGGTTATTTTTGGCGTGTTTTTAGACCTTTTTACCGGGGTTTCTTTTTAGCACTGGGTTGGGTAAAAGAAAATTCCAGTGCAAAAAAGAAACCCCGATAAAAAAAAGTTTAAAAGAAAAACACGCCAAAAATAACACAAAACCCTGGAAACCTCTGCTTGGAGAGTAACGTTACACGCCATACCTGGTCCGCGACACTAGACAAACCCAGCGCCGTTTCCTGCTCCCAGGGCCGGGTTTCCGCCGCGATCTGCTCCGAGTAGAAAATCGAAGAGGCCCGTTCCGTGATCTGTCTCCCGTAGTCCGGATTATCTCCCAATCCGGGTAAAATATCTCCTGATGCGAAGGCATCATGAACCGGCTCTCTGGGCGAAAACGGGCACTGGCCGAGCGTAGTTCCGTTATTAACTTCAAATCTCCGCAGTCTAGCGCTAAATTCTCTACAAATCCCTGACACCTTCTCTTCAACAAAGTCTGTTGCTTCTTGGAAAGTGTTTATATCTGCACAGGTTTGATGAAAAATCGAAGAAATGAGAAGAAAGTAAGGAAGGAAGTGGACAACACTACGCGCCAATTCCGCCATGTTTTGAATTAGGAATGACGTCATTCTGGGATTTCCCTTATTTACATCCGGTTGAAAGGAACGTGCTTCCGGTGTCATGGCGTCCGCGGTTGAAAAAAACCCACATGTGATTCAGTTTTTTACCTGGATTTAGAACGCCATAGAGTGTCACGCTTCGCGAGGGAGTTTCAATGGCTTGCCAATTTAGAAGAGCAATTGCTGGTTTGGTAAGATTGCTAGATGTTAGCGCTTATCTGTCAATAAGTCACATTCAATCGTTGTAGGGGAGGGGCGTTGCATCATGCATATGAAAACATTTGGTAACTTAGAAAGTCCACATTTTATACGTACTTGCTACATTTTTTCCAGTATATGCAGTCATAGAAGCATGACAGAATTTACCCATTTAGATGTAGGTTGTACTGGTTCGTTAAAATCTGATAGCAAGTGTTGCCACATACAAATTTAAAGAAACGTAACTTGCTTTGTTTTATGTCTAAGAATTACCCCATACGTACGTGCTCCTTGGTCGGTGAAATTAAACCTTGATTTCACTTTGTGACAATTCTTGATGGTTTTCTCTTTGGGTATTGACCCCAGGTGAATCAAAGGAACATGTTTGAAAACATCAGTTGTTTCTAAGTAAACTTTCACACATTCAGTACATTAATAGTGCTGTAAATGTATTAGTTATAAGCGGGTGTCCATTCTGACATGCTTCCAGATTTCGAGAGCAGCAAAAGTACGCGAAGAGAAGATTGCACCCTGGGTACAAGTTTCCAACCCAAAGATTTCAAGGTAAAATTCTTATCCTCACTGGTATTAACATATTATTATAGATAGATATTTTCACTCCAGCCCTGGCAACTTAGGAAGTCAATTTTATGAAGTTATCGGGGTCAATACTGGATGCTTAGATTAGAAACCTTGGCTTGATCAAAGTGACAAGAAAAAAGTGTCAGAGCGTGCTGGAATGATTTGTGCATCTGACCCTCCCCGTGCCGGCACGTGCCCTAGTAGAACTACACTGATTGGTTGATGCTGTCACATGCAATTCCTTGGTACTGTGCCTGGTGGCGCTGTATATACCCCTATGAAGTTTTATGTACAATGTAATATGGAATGGCTTTGTCTGTTGTCACTGAAGTTGCATCATAACAAATTTTATTATCTGATGAGGTATAGTTCAGTCTGTATACAAATCATAGATGTTGTTATATATACTTGCATGGTTTCAGTGAAGGAGAATTTCTCCTGCCCATTAAACCACTGATTGACAGTGGAGTGCTGCCTCCCAGTGCAGAAGAGAGTGGAAGTGCACACGATGCAATAGGAAACCTCACTAACAAGGTAAAAGTCTGTTTGTTATTAAGTTATAGAGATACTTTTAAATAGCTTGATCATCTTTATCTTTGTCACTTGAAGAAGATATTCAAGTTAATCTACATTTGTAAAAACTTAACTTTGAGCTTTAAGGTCAATTAGAACAACTTATTACATGTATTAAATGTCACCAAGGCATTATTTTTCAAAATTGTTGTAAACAGAAGTCCATCTTTGTCCTGAGTAAACACTTTATTTTCCAAAAATAGTGGAAGCCTATTGGATGGTGTTTGATGCAATAGAGTTCATCTTTGTGTCAGAGATGTTACATTACACAGTTTCAGGATTTGACCATTGTCATTTTACATGTACTCTGTTTTACCAGATAAGTTGCCAGCACCCAGTGTTGAAAGTCATAGGCAACAAAAATGGGATCCAGTTTTCTGTAGATCGAGCACTTCTAATAAAGGTAAGTTAAATTGATACCATATATATGCAACTTCAATATTATTTTTCAACTTCAGTTAAACAGTAGATACACATTGAAATTTTAGCTGCATTCCTATTCTAGGCCCGTCTACATTTCATTATATATTATCAATACAATAAATTCATACAGGAAAAATCAGCATCATTTTTAAGGCGTATGCTTGTTTTTTTTCAGCTATCATATTCAGATATCATAATATTTAATAATTTCCTTCTGTTTTTGCTGTAGTTTTATTTTGTACTGCAAGTGAATGTATGCTTGTATGCTCGTTTTTTTTCAGGTATCATATTCAGATATCATAATATAATTTCCTTAAAATTGTTTTTGGCATAGTTTTATTTTGTTCTGCTAGCCCAATAATAACAAGTGAATGTTACAATTGAATGATGCTTTTTTTTTTAATTCTCTTTTAGAGTGTCCTGTCCAAAGTACAAGAGGACAGAGACCAGTATGGCAGACACAGTGAGTTATTTAGCAGAAACAAAGGAGAGAAGGTCATCGTGGAGTACAGTTCTCCCAACATAGCCAAGCCCTTCCACGCAGGTCATCTCAGGTCAACCATCATTGGGAACTTCATCGCTAGGCTGAACCACGCCCTTGGCAACAAGGTGGTCAGGATCAACTACCTAGGTGACTGGGGGGTTCAATTTGGTGAGTCTTTTATTTATTTATTTATTGAAATTGCAACAATGCAATACACGCAGGACAGAGGCAGCTGTTGCTGGTGTTGTGTCCCGCACATAGAAACGAATACTGGCATAGATACAATACTCATTTTCACTTGCGTCTAGTGGGGAAAGTCGTGTTAAGTGCCTTTCCCAAGGGCACAAGATCGATGGCATGTCAGGACTCGAACCTAGGACCTCTTGATTCCGAGTCGCGCACGCTGCCGTTGCGCCACACGGCCCAAACATTCACTTACAAATATACCTAATACCAGCTCAAAAAATAACAAGAAGTATTCATAGCCTTCAAGTACCAGAGTTATCAACCAAGGTTTGAGGTGTTCAAAAACTCATTTTTCCCTAGAACTATTGCAAACAGTGGAACTGTGAAAGTACAGTAGGGGCGCCGGCATCATCACTAGATACACATGTACCTTTAAACAATGTTTAGAGTTAGATGTGCAAAGATTAGTTGTGATAACTTGTTCCATGTAATGTAGCTACCCTCTGCCGGGCCAAGAGTCTGTGAAGCTGGTGTGCTATGCTGAGGGGTGGATATACATTTAATAGACCTTTTTCAGATGTTGAATCATGTCCTGGGTGGTATCTACCATCTTTCCTAACTGTCACAAATGTGTGTTGAAGCCTTGTGATGTCCACTAGAATATAACATGTTTTTTTATCTCGGCCGCCTGAGCGGCCGAGATATTGTGCTCCAAAATATGTACGTTGGATGGTTGGATGGTTGGATGGATGGATCTTGATTTCGACCGTGAAAAAAAAAACCCAAATAAAACCAATTACTCTGCATGTATACTTTACTTTGTGGTGTCGACCTACCGGATGATAGTGTCGTTATTCTGATACAACGAAGTTGCTAAAAAAGAGGAAATGCTGTTTACCACAAAACCATTGTTTTATATCATAGTATGCATTTAATGTTCTAGAATTTCGCTAATAGCTGCTGTAATTGGACCAATAGATCAATGACATAAATTATGTACATTAACCTTCCATATTTGCTTAAGTCGCAAGATGTCGCTTTTGATTGGTGAATAAATCACTGTGACGCACGTAAATATTCACTTGAAATGAGAAATTACCGCCCAACAAAACGGACCATTAGATTCCCAGTGCTGTATTACTCTTTTGTTCTTGTGGTCAACTTGTTTTCTTTGCTTGAATCGCGTTAAAGACCAAGGAAAATACAATGAAATCGGCAATCGCCGAGCCGCCGTCGATCTGCCGCCGCCATCTTGGATTTTTTTGGAAAGCTGCAATTTGGCCCAAATCGCTAGAGGGGGCCAATTAAAATGTTTAATATATTCGGTCTGAAGTTTTAGTAGCTCTAGCAGTAGAGGAGAAGTTTGATAATGCATAGAACGGATAAAATAGAATAAGATTAAATGAAATAAAATAAAACAGAATAAAAATAAAATGAAAAATAAATAAAAAATAAATAAAAATAAAAAAATAAAATAAAATAGAAAATACAATTGTAAGTGGTTACATATACTTAACGTTATATTGTATTTAGCAATGATCATTTAGCAAAAAAAATTCGGTACTGAAACTCCGGTATTCAGAATCAGGTACAGGTACAGGTCCGGACCTGGACCTGATCCTCTGGACCTGGAAGAGCCGAACAGGTACCCACCCCTATTGCTAGTGGTGTAATATGGCTGTAATGTCGACACTGTTTGTTGAGTACTAGTACAGTATATTTATATTCCTAATCAAAAGTAACAGTGAAAGATTTGCCCATACATTGGTATTGAAATAAAGAGCACATTTTAGTACCGTTCACCTGTCAATTTGGTCATTTTCCGGGGGGTACGTTTATTCCGGAGGGTATGTATATTAGACTTTGAAGATTTGTCCGGGGGGTATGTTTATTCCGGGGGGTATGTTTATTAGGGACATGAGAGTAGTATGCATTAAATGTTATAAAGATTTGGTAATAACTGCTGCAATTGCACCAATAAACCAAGTTAAAAAATTTACGTTTTAATATTACCTTGAGACATCTGAATAAGTCAAGACGAAGGTTATGGAAGTGCACTATATTCCTCGGTCGCAAGATGTCGCTTTTGATTAGTGGCCTGAATGGAATTTCCCATATCGAAGATCCCGGATGTAACGCATGAGGCTGGTAAGGTATTTACTTAGCAAAAATAGCAAAATATCAGGAATTATAAGGGTATTAGGCATAGAGCCATAGGATAAAAATGGAGCTAAAGATACTACGGGCAAGGGCAATCAATTACATTGTGTTTTATTCGTGCTGTTGAACAGATTTAAACAGAGTTAC